TCAATCTTTCTTTCTCCCTCTCCTCTTGTTGCAGTATTTCCTCTTTCTGCCTCGCTCTCTCTCTTTCCTCCTCTTTCTGTCTCTGCAACATCAACACCAATTCCTTTTCTCTCTCCCTCTCTCTTTCCTCAGCCTCCTCTTTCAATCTTTCTTTCTCCCTCTCCTCTTGTTGCAGTCTTTCCTCTTTCTGCCTCGCTCTCTCTCTGTCCTCCTCTTTCTGTCTCTGCCACATCAAATTGTTTTCTCTCTCTCTCTCTTCTTTTTCTTCTTCTCCAAAACTCTCTGTTCGTTTCACCCACTCTTTTTCCCACACCTCCTCTCTTTGTTTCCTTTTATTAATTTCCTTCTCTCTCAGTTCCACCTCTAATTTGTGTTCCTCATGTTCATGAATCGGTCTCTCCTGCTCCTCCCTCAGCCTCTGTCTTTCTCTTTCCTCCCTCTGTCTCTCCTCTTTCCTCTTCTCCTCCCTCGGTTTCTCTCTTTCCCTCTCCTCCTGATCCAGCTTTAGTCTCTCTTCCTTCTGCTTTGCTTTCTCTCTTTCCTCCTCTCTATGTCTCTTCAACAAAATCTCCACCTGTCTTTCCCTTTCCCTTTCTTCCTCTCGAAGCCTCTCCCTTTCGTGTTCCTCTTGTCTTAACATTTCCATCTCCCACTCCTCTTTCCGCTGTCTCTCCATCTCCTCCTCCTTCAACCTCTCTCTTTCCCTTTCCTCCTCTCTGCGTTTTTCCTCTTCCCTCTGCCTCAAGGTTTCTTTCTCCTTCTCTTCTCGTTTATGCTCCTCTTCTAACTTAAGTCTTGCCTGTTTGTTCTCCTCTGCTCTCCGTTTTTCAAACTCCAAATGTTTCAGTCGCTCCTCTTCTTGTTTTTGCATCTCCTGATTCTTCCTCTGAAGACTTCCCACTCGTCTGTAGACGGGCAACGAAACAGGAGTTTCCTCCTCAGCTTTATCCTCAGGAGTTTCTTCTTCTTCTGAGCTGGACTCCGATGCTGAGCCCAGGATCAGTGGAGGCCCACCGTCGTCTCGCTCCACGATACCAAAGCGAACAGAGCGGCGCTTGACGTTGTCTCTCTTTAGAGGGCGCTGGCCACTTTCGGTTGCTGAGTCTCCCTCATCGGTAGCTGTTTGCGTTGCAGATAGGCTTCGACTACGGAGTCGAACGTCGCCATCGGTTAATTTCTGCTCGTCCTCACCAGGTTTCTCGCTTGAGCTATTCACAGACTTATTTTCTGTAGAAATATCTTTAGGTGTTTCCTCTGGGGACTGTGAGGGAGGTTCAGCTGAGGAGACTTTTGGAAGTGGATTCACATCCTGTGTAGACGACAATCTGGTCACGGCAGGTTTCTCATGTGGTGGCGTTTTGGGTATTTTCTCTGCAGTTGGAGCAGCCACCGGCTCAAAGCTGGAAAAGAGACCGAAATCATCAGTCGTTCTCAATTAAAACTAGTTAAATGAACCTGCTTGGCAGTGGTAATTCATGTCATTTCATCTAAGCATATACCATGACAGAGGAAAGGGAGATTTCAGCATTTCGGCAAATAAACTTGTTCGCTATATTTCTACGAGTTTGATTTAAAGACTTGTGTCTTTAAATGTGAAGCTTGAGCCAGACAGCTGTTGAGCTATTCCTTTAAAGGACTGGTTTGCCCCAATGCATAACAAACTAAAACAATTTATTTCTCTTTCATTTTTCACTGTTTTGATTTTATTTGCCATGTTTTGTGAAATGTATGCCTAATGTGTTTCCTTGTCCCTCATCAATAAGATGTTTTTTTGTTTTTTTTAAGTTTTAAAAAAGAAACTGAATCTCTGTTACTCTGGATTTTCCACAGAATTAGCTGTCATGATGTTTCATAGCTTTGTTTGCTTTGAGTAGAAAATAGTTCCAGAAAAATGTTAGCAGTGAAACCTCTTCAAAACAGAGAGGAATGTGTTTCTGTATAGACGTGCTGCTGCTTTTGTTTCTGGATGGATGGATCATCCTTATAACCCCAGAGGGTTCAATAAAATTGAAGTCAACTCCCATGCCCAAATTACAGGAAAAATAGGCCAAACTAATTAATACAGAACATATATACAAAGACTTCGATTTCTGTGAGCAGAACAAACAAAGTTCACAACCACTTTAGTTAGAACAGCAGCAGAAAACTCAGAAATGGATATGACAAAACCTGACATCATGGGAATATTAAAAACCCTTTACTAAAGTAACGGTAGTAACACCGCAGTAAAGATATTTCATTGCATATATACATACAAAAAATAAAAGTACTCATTAGTAAATAAAAACCCTTGTGAGTGTTACTACATATAATTTAATTGATGTATAGAAAGTAGTATTGTATGTGTAAGTAGCATTCTGGTTGATGTGGAGTGTATTTTAGGACTGCAACTGAACATCATAGTCGAAACTAATTGATTTGAAATTGCATTTCTCAATCACAGAAGGTTAAAAACAAAAGACATTATAAAACAGGGGAAAACGATCACAATGTCTTAAAATGTCTGTTTTTTATCTAAGCCCAAAAACATTCAACTAGCCACAAATGTAAGACAAAGAAAAGAGGCAAATACTCACATCACCATCAACTGTTATTTTTGTTTGAAAATAGATTTATAATCATATATCATCTTGATAGTTGTAGATTCATTTTAAGTTGTTTAGCTAATCTAGGTATTGATTCAACTAATCACTGAGGCTCTATTATTTTTAACTATTACATGAACTGTTATTTCTTATATTATTTTTAACAATGCATCGTATTTTAGAAATTCATCATTTGTCTTGGATGGAAAAGTCATTATCTGGAAAATATAAGCAGCTAAAGCTGTAATTGAGTGAAAACTACGACATTCCCCTCTAAGTTTCCTCTTTAGTGAAGAAGAATAAAGAAGTATATTAAATTTTTACTCACATACATTACTTGAGAAAATTTGAACATTCAACCGTCATGTGTGCTGATAGAAGGTTGTACAGCTAATCTTAAAATTCATAATGTGAGCCGAGGTGGCCGTGTTTGCTCTCTTATCTAAACTATTTTATTTGAGGACATAAATCTGGCTGCAATCTTGATATTATTAGCAACGTTATTCATTTACCATGTCCACACATGTGGATTACGTAAACAAAAACTGAGAAGAACATATAAAACACGTGAAGCATGAACACTAACCATAAATTAAACTTCTTGATTGGTTGCACTTTGAAGAGAAGAACTCGTGACTGATGAAAAGAAGGTCACTTACCTACGAGAGCGAGGTCGAGGTACAACCTGAGGATTCCCCTCCGTCTTGTCACCCTCAGAATTTGTTTCCGCCGCCCAGTGTTTGATTCGCTCCTTTACGCCCCCCCCTGTACTGGTCACGATGTCAGGCTCCTCTTTCTTTGTCATGACCTCTGGCCTCTGTGAGGAGTCAAACAGAAGACTGATTCTGCGTTTAATACTTCCTCCTCCGTTATAATCTTCCGTCAGTCCTCCTTCATCAGTCTCTCTGCTTGATGGCTCTGTTGTCTGGTTCTGCTCTACGTTGGAGGACGCTGGTTTGTTTGAATCATCTTTGCTGGTGCTCTTAGATATGGTTATCGTTGGCTGGGGAGGCAGGGGTGCACCACCTGACTGAAACTTTGAAGTGAGCTTCGTGGGAAGACTCTTCCTGGGGCCGCCCCATCGATATGCTGAATTTGCCGAAGAGGAAGCGTCTCTCCCTGATTCTTCAGGCTTCTGAGTTTGATCTTCTTTCTTTTTCTCATCTTTCTGTTCTAAGTTAGTAACAAGATCAGTGGATGCATTGTGGTTTGATTGGATGATATCGTCTTTCTTCAGTGGCTCGGACGTGGGTGTATCTTTGGGTGGAACAGGTTGTGAGGCAGGATCGGATTTTCTTGGAGCTACATTAGAATCAGGAGTATCTTCAGCACGTGGGCTTGGTTTACCTTCTTTGGTAGTTTTTGGTTTATCATTCCTGTTCACAGAGCTGGGTCTGGAGCCAGAGGCAGTGGTTTGCTGAGGAGGTTTATGAGCGTGGGCGGTCGGAGTCAGTTTGGAGACATCTGCAGCTTCAGATTTTCCAGTTTGGTTCTTTGTTGACTTAACAGTTCTGGTGGGGACCGTCGTTGGAGCGTGGATGGAGCGAATGGAAGTGTTCTTCTGCAGGGAGAAGGGCTTAGGAGCAAGCCGAGGTTTGGGGGCCAGACCCGGCTTTGGGTTTGAGGTGTGTCCAGTCTGGGAAGTCTCCAGGTAGCGCTCCATAACTGAATCGCTGAAAGCAGAAGAAGAGAGGAGACGTTTACATAAAGCAAACTGCAGAATCAACACTGAAAAATATTACCACTCTGAGCTGAGACACACCAGCTGGTTGTGTTGTTCCAACAAAGAGAGGATAAGTCTGGTCTGTCTAGATTTTTGAAAGCACTTTCCACCTTCAAGAGCAAAGAGAACCCAGTCGATAACACTGAACACACACCAGAAACCATGACATGCCTTTCTGCTGCAATCACCTGTACTGTCTTACTCTTATTTAGGTTCATACTTTTAATGATAAAAAGGTATTAACAATTATGTACTTCTGTTTAAGAAAATCTAAATCATTCACACCATTTAAATCACCTCCATAAAGACCTGTTGCCACTGGTCAAAAAACCCACTAACGCCCGACATCTAGCTTTTGTCTGGGATTGGAATGGATACAATCAGCATTCACTCCCGGGTCAAATGACTCTGCAGAAGACACAGGTTTTAATCAGCTCCTGCTCCGATCAGCAGAGATGGAAACGTGACACCCGGATGAACACGCTAATTTGCAAAGACAGCGAGGTGAGGTGCATTTGTGACGTCAAACAGGACGCAGCAGGGCAAAAAATAGAAAGGGGAACTCCTCTTCTGGCAATGGGAAAGGAGTCAATCTGCTTTTTTAGAGGGTAACCTGTATTTAAAAAACCTGTGTGTACCCACTTCTTTAGGTGTAAAAGAGGAGTAACAATCAAGTTCTGACATGTCGCTTTCACTTTCGTAAGGCTGGGGCATAATTATAATGTTACAAGTACCATCTGAAGGGTCGTCTTCACTGAGGAAGTCCAAAAACCCACAAAAACAACTCAAAGAGCAATGAGGAATAACACATAAAATACTAAATACCAAATCTGAACCTAAAGCTCCATTAAAGCCTGATCCATTTATCAGTCGACCGGTTATATCTGCAGGTTATTAACCTTCTGTCAGTGATATCTGATAATTTCATCGTTGCTTCATCAAGCTACCAACCAGTAAATAATTTATAGAGCAGCAGTAATTATTATTTCCACTGATGATTTTTCCATTATAGATCCTGACGATTGTTTTCTCTCGTCACAATTTTTTTCCTCTTTTTGTTTTGTCCGGCCACATCTGATATCTGGATTAGTATCAACCCAATATTCACATTTCAGTTGCTTTAAAAAAGTTGAGATTTTTAGTTATCAGAATAGCAGCAGTACATTTATAGCCAAAGTATGTAAATATAGAAAGACTGCTAAAGAAAAGTGTGACATTAAGATGGAATATGAATTTGACAGTTTTTTTTCATCCACACTGAATGAAAAAATGAAAAGCAACTAAAACAAGCAGGTGACGTGTTGTCAGAGGCTAAAATATGTCTGATGAGTCATTGCACGTCCACAACATGACCCTAACCCTAATGACAGTCACATCGGACTGAACTGAACCCACTGATCAGGTTCAAACATCTCAAGAGTAACTTTCACTAAAAAGGCCCAAAGTCACAGCTGGTGTGAGGAAGATAACAAGAAGGCTTCGATAATCTAAAACACTGAATACCGGAGGCGCTGCTGCGATCAGCACTCATCTGGTTTGACCTGAAAGACTTTTGCACAAACCAGTAGCTCCACGCCCAACACTGTAATAATGTACAACACTCAATGTGTCAGCAATAAGCTCAGTATGAACACAGCTGCCGGGCATGTAGACGCTCTGGATGCACTGTGAAGAAAGCTTAGGCAGTTCTTGCATGTGTCATGTGTTCATTAAGTCTTTTTCCTCATTGCACAAACACACAGTCCGCCTGTGGGTTTGCATGATATTGTGTAATGGGATCAGACTAGGTGAAAACAACCCAGTGAGGGAGTGTTGCAGGGTTTTGAGGATGTGTTCAGGATCTGTGTTTTCCTCAGGAATAAACAGTGTCTGACAGGCAGAGCTGCAGCTGACAGATGGTTTCTTCTTGCTTATTTAGGCCGCAGTCATGGACCCACAGCTCCCACACTGTAAACTCTCTTTATCTGTGTTTGCCTTCAGAGGCTGTTCCCCCTGCCAAGGCTTCATATGGATACCACACGGTTGATCCCGCACTGCTGTGAGAGGTGCTAATAATGTCTGATCTGTGGAGTCTCCGTCACTGAAACACCGCGATGTGAGGACGTGTAGTTTTCATTAAAGAGTGAGATGAGGTTTTATTTTCCAACTCGATCCATGTGTTTGACTGGGAGTTTTTAATAAGTCACCAATAAACGCGTCAACGATGAACTCCCTGTCGCTGAACCAGCAGCACCGCGTCCTCTGGACAACCCGATAAACGAAAGTAACTTTGCACTGAATAGTTGAAGCTCGGTTACACGTCTTGTCTGTGAGATCACGCGTAAAGTCAAACTTGTTCCTGTAACGCAGCGGAGAGTGTGTGCACCTGCTCTTCAGGTCGGCTTCCCCACCACGATCTGTGGACATCAAGTTGTTGTGTTGTTATTGACGTGTTTACCTTCAGTCGTCACGCGGGCATACGGCTTGAGGAGGGAAGCGGGAAGAAGTTAGAAAAATGTTTCCGCGATGGTTTCTTCTCCCGCTGAGCTGTTGTCACACTCTTCTCCCGCAGCTCATTCACACAGAGTGAGACGCTCCCACACACACACACACACACAGACACACACACACACACACACACACACACACACACACATCAGACACTCCCTCTCTGTGATACACGGCAGCAGAGCCAGGCTGCTGCTGCTGCGAGGTCAAGCTACACACACACACAGACAAGGAGAGACAGGAAGTGTTTCCCAAAGCACTGTTCAGGGATATAGAACATGTGAATCATGTTTGGCTATGATTCTATCATTCTTAACTACTTTTGCTTATTCTCGCTGAATCTCTTGTATCTCAACTTTTCTTTCACTATTTGTATTCTTCTTCTTTTCCCTCTCTTAAAATCATCTCAGCCATTCTGAATCAGAATCTGAATCCTTTGTTGTCAATGTTCAATTGTCACCAACAGTGAAAATTGTTTCAGCAGCTCTTCTTGTTACAGCAGCATTTATCTGACTTTTAGAAATCAGAACAAGAATCAAGAGGTAAAATCTAAATGTACATTTTTTTATAAAAACACAGCGAAAGAAAATAAACATAAGTAAAGTGTAACAGCGTGATTTGCACAAAAGGTGAAAGACGAAAGGTGCAGAAGGGTACAACAGTGCAATTTTTACAGTAGGACAGTCCACCTGAGTATTAGTGCATAATATTTTTGTGCAAAATTACAGCGTTCAGAAAAAAAGTCACAGTGAATGTTTTATCGTTGGGTAGACTATGTGTGTGTGTGTGTGTGTGTGTGTGTGTGTTGTTTAAATCTGTTCTATCATATACGTTAGTCTATTTATTTGTCAACACTAATCTGTGTGCATTAGACTCAATTGCTTTTAGTTGTTTTTAATTGTGTCTTTTCTTTGCCCTTGTTGTTTTATTGTCTTATTATGAAGTTGTCAATCATAAATGAAGCACCTTGAGCTGCATTAACTTGCGTGAAAGGTGCAGTATAAATAATGTTTGATTGATTGATTGCCATTTCATTATGGTCTCCAAAACTACAATTACAACCACGTGATACAATTAGTGCTTTGGTTGAATTTGGTGCAGAGTGAAATTTGAAAATATCTACATCGAGCATTGAAAATGTAATGCATAGAGAATGGTGATTGGATGAAATCTCAACTTCACCTATTTGGAAAGTTATAGTTGGTTGTTTTTCCATTTTATTTTGAAGATTTAGACAGGAAGTGGCCTGTGAATTCACAGTAGCTTGAATGAAGTACGTTGTTCTATTGACCGGATAAACAGGTTCCGAGTGAAAAGGAATTGTATCCATGCAGCTCTCTCTGCTTCATGGAGACTTCTGACCTGGGGCTTCTTCGCAGCAGGAAGTGCTCACATCATTTACATCAGAGCTGGCTCTATACATTTGTTTTTCCCACGCTGCAGAGCAGGACACAGCCCATCACTGAAGGGATCTGTGCCTCCGAGCAGCAAATCTGAGAAATAAGACTTTAGATGAACTCACTAATGTGTGTGTCTGATTGAATGGTCCTGGTTACTTTGTAAATATATTGAAAATTCAAATAAGATTACATGAGGATGAAATGTTGTAAAAGAAGTAGTATTTGAAATGACAAATGACAAGTATTACACATGAAGTGATATTGAACATGAAACTGTAAAAGTAGTATTATACATATAGCACATGATAATGAAAGAGTGATATTGCACATGATGTTGGGCAGTAATGTTGTTCATGTTAAAAGGTAATATTGCATGTTGTGGATAAACTACTAAAACATTTTACTTAAATAAAAATGAATAGACAAAAATATAACAAAGTAAATGTAAAACATTAACTATTATACTTGAATCAAGATAAGTAAGTAAATGCTTTTAAATATACATATAGTAAAGGTAAATGTATTAGCTGTGTGTAGCTTATTCTCATCTGCAATGGTCACATAAGTCATTAACTGTGCCTACTGTATATTTAATACAAGAATAATACAGACTTGGTCATATCAATAGAGAATACTACAGATGTTGCTAGTGAAAACACATATATTGTGATATTGATCAATGGTCTAATTACCTGCCTTCTCTGATTGGATCACTGGAACAATTCTCCTGTTATTGATCATTTTTAGGAATATAAAAAACTTTGTGAACAGCTAATGCAGTGATTTGCAGAAATGAAGGGGAGTAGGGAGTACAGATATGAGCTGATTTATGTAGTGAAAAGTACCTGAAATAAATCTACTTTAGTAAAGTACAGATACATGAGAACAGTACTGAAGTAAATGTACTTTGATACATCTTTATGAACAGTCTACGATCCCACCACAGGGTATTGGTGCTGGTTTCTGTTGTGGGCTTAGAGTCTGAAAAATAAACTAAACACAATGACATGTTCTATCTTTTAGTTTTATTTATAAACTATATATAAATGTGGTTTCATTAAAAACTAGAAAGACCTCTGAATATTATCAGCGCTGTGTTTCGGGCCTGTGTGTTTGTCTCTCCCTGGTGGACGCTCCGGTGAACCGCTTCTTCCCTCCCTCCTCTGGCTCAGCGGACGAGTTGTCATGGCAACTGTGCAGCATGTGTTTACTAAAACTGGGTCTTGACCGTCCAGCGACACTTCTCTCCACTCGCACATCTGCGACGCCATCTTATTCTTCTAGCTGTCGGAGGGGGAGCCTGGGGAAGACGGACAGACCGACACAAGGTGCTGCTTCCAGCGGGAGAGGAGGGGAGCGGAGCCGCGGTAAGAGAGTCGAGGATGAGCGGAGCCAAAGCCCGCAGCGACGCGCCTGTTGCTGAGGACGTCTCCGGCGGCGGCGGCGGCGGCGGCGGGCACGGCACTGCGGCTCCTCCGCGGGACCGCAAGCCCGGCGGAGGAGTCCTGAAGAGGCTGAAGTCCCGGAGGAGCCAGGTGGACAGCAGGCCCGTCACGGAGGAGGACCTGCGGACGCGGAGCGGACACATCGCGCCGGAGGACGTGCTGGGACTGCGGGGGGCGACGCGAGGTTTGAGCGACCCTCTGTGGTGGTTTACCACCGGAGCGTGATGTGGAGCTCAGGCTGAATTATATCTGAACATATGACCGAGATCCAGAGACGATCACATGTACACATGACGTCTGACTGTGTTGGCTCTCGCTTACATATATTACGTGTATTTGTTATAATGAGGAGAGAACACACAACTGGCTTCATAAACACATGTAGGGCGCCATTACATGATCTTTCATTCATGTATAAATATAATTGTTTTCCTGGTTGAAGCAGCTGCAGGATATTAAAGGTCCAGTGTGAAAGATTTAGGTGAAAGGGTGAAATCTATTGAATAATCCTCATGATGTTTTCACTAGTTCGTTTCATCTAAATTGTATGAATTGTAGTTTTCTTTACCCCAGAAAAGGTCCTTTATATTTAAATACTTTATATTTACATCATGGGGACCCTCTCTATGGAGGCTGCCATGTTTTTTTTACATGTTTTTATGACAACTGAAGTTACCACAGGTTCCTTTTCATGTTTGGAAGGAGAGGGTGAGGTGAGGGGTGTTCAGCTGCAACATGCAATTTCAACACTAGATATCACAAAATTCTACACACTGTACCTTTAAATTCTCACTGTTCAGTCATTGAACTGAGATATTATGTATTTAAACTCACATCTAACCCCACAGAGTACTGACATGAGTGTTGTTTTATACATAATATACAGTAGTACTTATCATCAGTGTGTATCTAAAGTACACACCTCTATCTCTATGTAGACCGCAGTTACAGCTGTTGAGGTCAAATTTGAAATAAGGAAGGAAATAAAGAACCTTTAATGTAATGCTTCATTTCCCCAAATGAGAAAACCACACATGTTTTGAACTGTGAAGCCATGATCAGAGTCTTTAATGTCTCTGTTAGTTTCCATTGCTTCTGTTAACACAGTACATAATTATTGACTTCGTATTTCCATATATCACTCTGCCCTGAGTTATCACATTGATCATTAACGCCTTGTCTCAGCTTGTGTAAGCAAAACTATGTCATCTGAGTTTTGCATGTAACCTTTGTGCATGTCAGGGCAGCATGTTTGTGCTTGAACAGTGCACATATCGACTACAATGGCTTGAAAACCATGTCAGTGTTTATAACTCCGACCCTGTGTCCTTGTTGCAGGGTACCTGTGTAAACCCGAGGACAATATTTACAACATAGACTTTGTGCGCTTTAAGATCAGAGACCTGGAGACGAGCACCGTCCTCTTTGAAATTGCCAAACCACCAAATACAGGTATTGTGTGTATTAGCTTCTTCCTTACACCGTAGTGTTTGATCTCTATTGTTATCTATCTACTAAATCCACAAACCTGTATGTGGAACACATCTTCTGGGAACCATTTACTCTGCTTCACACTTGGCATGTGTATTGCTAAAGGCCCAGTGAAGTGCAGTGTTGATTCATATTTCATTTTATGAAAAACATTGACTATACAATATTCATTGCAGATAAACCAGGTAGGGTGAACACAATGTTTGCTTCACTCTGCACAATAGGCTGTTTATAAAAAGTTCTACACACAACCAGCAGCACACACACAACAAAAAGTGACAGTATAGTACAGAATGTTAACACAGGCAGAAAAAACAGCCATGTTTAGAATGGGAACTGGACTAGTTAGCTTAAAATGAAAGACTCTGAGCCTTTAAACAGGCCCAGAAACAATGTGTGCTGGTTGTTCTGATCACAAATAGGCCTCTGTGTGTGAATGATGTCAAATGTGTTCTTCCTCGGTTGTGGCTCTCAGAGGATGATGAGGAGAATAGAGAGGCAGACGCCAGCGCAGGCCGATTTGTGCGCTACCAGTTCACCCCGGCCTTCCTGCGCCTGAGGACTGTGGGAGCGACGTGGGTGACTCACACTTCACCAACACACAGCTATTAAAAAACACACTCACCTGTTCCATCAAAGAACAAAGACAATTGCAGCATTGTCCTCAGTCAGCTACACACTCTCACACACATTGTTCAACCTCTGTACTGAGACTCGCTGTAATAACATTATAATGACTCAAGAGCTGCTGTTGTAACGTCTCCTCTCTCTCCCTTTTATTCTTAGGGTGGAATTCACAGTTGGAAACAGGCCACTAAATAACTTCCGCATGATTGAAAGACACTATTTCCGCGATCACCTGCTGAAGAGCTTTGACTTTGACTTTGGCTTCTGTATCCCAAACAGCCGTAACACCTGTGAGCACATCTATGAGTTCCCTCAGCTGTCTGACAGCCTAGGTGAGAAGATATATTATGTCCTACTGTGAAAATGCTATGATATTATAATTAAGATTAAGATTCCTCTTTATGGTCCCACACACAGCATGCAACATGCAAACATGGGGAAATTTTACCTCTGTATTTAACCCATCTGTGTGAACGGAGCACACATGGAACACACGGAACACACGGAACACAATCCACACAGTGACCACACACGGAACACACGGAACACAATCCACACAGTGACCACACACGGAACAGTGGGCAGCCATGAAGGCGCCCGGGGAGCAATTGGGGGGTTCGGTGCCTTGCTCAAGGGCATCTGGGCAGTGCCCAGGAGGTGAACTGGCACCTCTCCAACTTCCGTCTATGCTGGACTTGAACCGGCCACCCTCCAGTTCCCAAGCCAAGTCGCGACGGACTGAACTACTGCCTCCCCATTAAGTATTGCCATAAAGGAGATCTTTAACTCCTTCCCCGCCATGTTTCACAGTGGAGCAGTTGACATTGACAAAAGCAAACATTAGGTTACATCAGATTTACAGTTCCTCGTGGGGTTAGGGTTAGGGTCAGATTTACAGTTCTTCATGGGGTTAGGGTTAGGATCAGATTAACAGTTCCTCTTGGGGTTAGGGTTAGGGTCAGATTTACAGTTCTTCGTGGGGTTAGGGTTAGGATCAGATTAACAGTTCCTCATGACGTTCACAATGTCTTCAACCCATTCGTCTGCATTCATTCTATTTTACATAACACCCTGTATCATGTCATCATGGTGATGTCTGCATGTGGAAATATTCATGTCGAACAATAACTTGTAAAGAATACACGATACATAGGTCATTCTATAGACTAGATGATCTAAGTTAAACTAAGTTAAGCTAACATGGAGTTTTTTGGGCTAAAATAATCCTTTCATTCTCATCCAGCTGATTTGCTTCTTTGTAAACAACTAAGAGATTGATTTGCTGAGTGGATGATGTCACCTTCTGCTCCTGTCTTCAGTTATGTCAAAATGAGTGGAGATTTGAAACCACGACCCATTGATACTCTGTAATTGAGAGTTGATCGTGAGGTTACAAGTCTGTGTGGCAGGTGTGTTGTGAATCATTTCAACCTGCACTGGGGCAACAGAGTCATGGACATAAATCTAATTTGATGGTTTAATTTCTTGTACTATGTATCCACACTTTCATCAGTGTACAAATTTACATATAAATATTGAATCTACTGAGCCACTGAATCACCTTCATTGTGACTGAAAGAATGAGTTATTCAGGGCAATCATAATCAGCCTGCTATGAAAATTAAACCTTTTTAAAATGTCTCAAAGGCAAATCCAGTGGCTTTATCAATTTTAAGCTAATATAGCAAATTCCCATTTTAATGTCAAATTAAATGTTGTATTTTCTCGCTTCATTTGTCTTTCAATACCCAGATATAAGTATTTCAAACACATAGATTCGTAGCTGAAAAAAATTACCATGGTTTATATAGGTGATTATATTGTGTTAATTAAATCAGCAGATCATAATTATTTCTCTATAACCCTCATGTTCTCATCTAAAGTCATCACCATGTCAAATATTTAACACAATAATCTGGATATCTCATTATATACATATGCAGGACCAGGCCCTGAGTCTGAGCTGTATAAATCATCACAGTGTTTTATTATCTGTGTTTTGTTCCAGCAACAAAGCAACTTGTGACAACCAGAAAGAACTCCTCTGCTTGTGAAACATAAAACACAAAGGGGAACATTGTGATAAAAAAGACTGAAACTAACTCAGGCAAATCTTTTGTAATGTAGTTTGGAAGTCAAGACCAGAATGGAGAGGAGGGTTTTCAATTATTACTGACTTTTTCAGTGTTTAATGTGGACATTTCAAGTGCTCAATAAAACCTTTTGTTTCTTTTCATACATGTATTAATTATAATTGCATAGACACTAAAAAACATTTGTTTTAATTACTGACTTCTGTAATTTGTCTGTTTTGCAGTCCGTCAGATGGTGGAGCGTCCGTACGAGACTCGCTCGGACAGCTTCTACTTCGTCGAGAACAGACTGGTCATGCACAACAAGGCAGACTATGCTTATAATGGAGGACAGTGATATCTGCCTGCTAGCATGCAAACACACGCCCCCCAAAAAGTGCATGCACACACCCACGTGCACGCACATTTGAGATATATATACAAACACACATGCATGCACATGGCTGAACATAAATACAGTTCATTCACTCACACATGCACAAGCAGCTACAGACACTGCTGAGTTACCTGATGTTTGTAAAGAAGAATTGCCATTCATCATAGCAGGCATTTACAGGGGATGTATTTGATATTGCATTAGGCCAATATGAATCTGATGTACAAACAGGATGCTACAAAATGGGCTAATTCATCAATTTTTTAATTGTGGTCAGATGACTATAAAATCAAAGAGGATTCATTATTCTAGTAGCTGTGGGTCATTTGTCTAAAACAGACCGATTAATAGATAGATGGTTAGTGTCCTCTTAGCAAATTTAAAAGTGTCCTACCACCCACTCAAACACACACACACACACACACACACACACACACACACACACTCACACACTCAATCCCCAATTGACACACATAATGTTTACGCAGTGTTTGTCAGAAGCAGCTGTTCTCAGAGCTACCGCTACACAATCCACTCCAGACAATATCGGGGGAGAAAGAGAGAAGCCATCCACAAAAACATTCCTGTCAAACACACATGGTCACTCCTGTGATCCTCTCCCCTGATCCAACCCCCAACCCCCTCACCCCTGTCTCCCCTTTCACTTTCATGAACACATCAAAATAGTACTGTACAAGATAAAAAGGTCTCTGAGATTTCACTCTCTATTTTTGTTTTGCAGCTTTCTCTGTTTGACTATAACAAACATGGAAACAAATCAGGGAACAATTAACTACGATGTAATTGTTTTGACTGCGACCAAATAAACCTTGAATAACGGACAAAGGTAAATAGAGAAAGGCAGATATTATTTCATTTCAGGATGATGCATGTGATGATGTAAAAAAGGGAACTTTAATAAATTATTTGGTATTTAGTGTGTAAAAGATAAAAAAGGAAGATGGTGGGCTTCCTTGTGTGAAAGTCGCATTGATTATTCTCCATATAGTTTAATCACCTGTATTTTTAAATCATTCTCTTATCGTGCACATCTTTAAAGATCAACATCAAGTTAGAACTTCTATGTAGATAACATACCTCGACTTTGTACTTTGTAAACTTCGGTGTTCAGGGTTTAAGGTTGTGTTTGTAAGAAAATAAATTAACGATATATACATATATATATTGTAAAAAGTGTCAAAATAAATTAAATGTACATTTTTAGATACAACCTGTGTGATGCTTGTTTCATTTCAGAGGATGAGAAAAGTTGAGATAATTTTGGTACAGTCCCAAAAGTGTCCAGCAGGAGGAGTTATATTATAACTAAGTTACTAAGCACTGCCACTGGTTTGGGTGCAGTTTGTTTGTGGAAAAGATCACAGCAGTGTTATTAGTTATTTATTATTATGCTGAGACGTGTTGACATTCATATCTGTTATTTGCTTAATACAAGTTGAATTACTTCAGCTGAGGTCATGATCTGATCTTTTTATTTGTCTGTGGCTGTGGTTTCTCTGCAGAGGGGAATACAACTCTGATAATATAATTCTGATTCCACATCATTACTTTATCCACGCGCCACATGTGAAGAGCGAACACAACCTGCAATACATTTCGAAATTTGTTGCACTTTGATTTTGCAGTTTTCTGGAGTCTAGTGGGATTCCAACCAAAAATCTGAGACTTTCTCTGTTTATTCTTTCTCAGGCTGTTTCCTCCTATCTCTGTGTTCATCTCTTGATCTCACTCTCTCAATTTCCATCTCTGTTTCCAGCTCATGCTCAAACTCCCATGGTCCTTTTCTTCTCTCTTGACTCTCCTTTTTCTGTTTCTCTCTCCTCACCTTTGCGGCTCTCCCCGGCCTCGCTCTCCCGCTCTGTTTTCCTCTTTTCTTTCCTCCTCTCTCTCACCTGGTAACCAGACCTCTGGAGAGGAGTGTTGAGTTTCCACTTTCCCAGAGAAGAGGACAATCTGAGGCACAATGGATCCCCTCTGCTCTCTCCTCCCTTCCCTCTGTTGCTGCACAGCTGAACACACACATGCACAGAAACATACAGTTTGCTGAATTACACAAGAATACATGCAGTCTATGCTTGTTATGTCCTGTTCACCTTGTCATCCAGTTTCTTTTACTTCTACTTTCCTTCATCTGTATCTTTCTGTCTGATATTATTTCTGCCTCCCTGTATATTTAGTTCTTTCATTGAAACAGTCACTTGTCAAACAATCAATCCCCAAAAAATCAATTCCCACTGTCCTCTTCTTTTACACCCAATGAAGCTGACATTTTATGTGGTACAGTGTTGATTTAATTACATTTTATCTGATGTCCATCCATGGTTACATCACATTGAGGCTGTGACACGAGGACTGCTTATGGCCCAGTGGGGTCTCCAATAATCTTAATTGGAAATCTGCATTTATGCAGCTGTGGCAGTGACACCTCCCCTTTTACAGAGATGACAAGGACAGTAGCTTTAACCAGTAAACAAAACTTTAAGCTGGAATAATTGAAAAAATCAGTTTTTTTGACCCAAGAAGGAACCTGCAAACTTTTGGTGTGGATTTTCATATATCTTGATGAAAGATCCGAAACAAAATCAGGATCTTGTGAATTTGAATGAAATGTGATTTCATAAGGGAACTTTTGGGCCTTGAAAATGTATGAGCTCTACTAAGTGACCCTCTGGTTAGAAAACTTTCCTTGTCAAGTCAGTGTTTTCAGTGTTCCTGCAAAACACATGTGCCTTGGAGCGTAGCATCCATGTTGTTTCCACATTCCAACTTTTAGCAACAAAGCTAGGCTAAGCTAACTTCCCTGCTTATCACTGATTCCTGTCAAGAAAAGGCGACCATGAGTTCACCTTTCCACAACAGTGTTAACTATCCCTTTAAAATCCATAAAAGACAATGGTGCTAAGACCCAATGTGCCAGTTGCTGATTGGGCCACAAAGCACATGAATCAATAACCGTGGCCTTCCATCAGAGCTGTGGGGCCTGTACACTGCAGCACGCAAGCAAAGCAGCTGTACTGTGCCCGACCATGTGTTGGCATAATAGGGATCTCAATATATCCAGTTTTAGTGTCTACAATTAGCAAGCACATGCACAGACACATTCACAGCAATAAATACACACACTTTCCAACTTTCCAGGGATGATTTGTGTGTTCCCAGGCCTTCATGGAATACATTTCAGCTGTGGATCGAAACACGCGCACCGGGAACAACTGGACAGGTGGGATAGATCAACCTCATTCACCTCACTCTACACACACACACACACACACACACACACACACACAGACACACACACACACACAAGCACCTATCTTTGTAACTGGCTTTGCCATATATCCTGTTCACTGAATCACTCACACCTTGAGATTAGGAGTGAGAAGCACTGGTTTATTGAGGTTCCCCTCTGAAAGACACACACACACACACACACACAGATCTACTGTCAGGCAGGGGGACAGGGGGACAGTGGTCTCCTATAAATAGCAGCAAGGAATGGCGTTGATAGGTCCTGTGAAAAGAAATGGAGGGGGGGAGTGGAAAAAGGATTAAAAGAGATACAGGGATGCACTGCAACTCCACTTGTTCGTGTGTGTGTGTGTGTGTGTGTGTGTGTGTTTGTGTGTGTGTGTGTGTTTAAGATACTTTGAAGAGAGGTGGTATAGATTTATTTGCTCTCTCTCTCTCTCAAAAAACAAATCACCATCCATCCTCATTCCCTTTCTGTCCTACTTACACACACTTCCTCATCCCAGACTCTTTCTTTCTTTCTTTCTGACTTCCCCCCTGTCATCTTGCTCTGAGGCCCTGGTGTGAAATCCATCACGTGTTAACACTAAACATTACCCGCAGCGCTTCTTCCGACAAATTAGATGATGAGTCATTCTCTTTTGGGTCGGCACGGCGATGGCCTAAAAGATGGTCGTGACTCCATCTATATCTGTCATGATGTCATTTCCAGCAAATACCCCCCTCCCAGACAGAGGTGAGGGAAGAGCTTGAGTTTCAATCATGGAGGATGATGAGTGCAAGTATAAATAAACATCAGGTTACATGTAAGATGCTCATCCATCATCACTGCTGCTGAAAGTAAAGGAGCACATAAAAGATTTTCTGAGGTGTGTGTCACTTTCATATGAACATCTCATTTTATGCTGAATGGATGCTGTAATTAAATGTCATGCCAGGCAAGGCTTTGTAGATGTGACAAGAGATAACACATAATTAGTTATAGGGGAGTTAATAATGCACTCACTACAGCAGTGATGGATAGACAGACCTTTAACAAACTGTGAGTCTTGCACCAATTTCCATGGTGGCAATTGCAGTATTGACAATCTGTCTTTAAGTGTTAAGTCTCCGCTGATATGTAACCAGAAGCCTTTGAGAGCTTTCTCTGTGTGTGTGTCTGTGTGTGTTCCCCTGTGTTTGTCTGCCCAGCTGTCTGTGGTTCTTACAGTGTAGATCTCCTCTGTGTTTTACACTCTCATTCACACACACACACACACAAACTAAGAAATAGTCCTGTGTCATGTGTGTAAATGGGTTGTGGTCTGTTTGTGTTCCACAGGAAGCCCACTGCCGCTCCTGGAAGCCTCTCAGAGCCCTCCAGCATCACCGGGTCCAGTTTGTTTTGTGTGCATTTGATTAATAAAAGGTTAACTCAGCCCTCAGTCAACTGTTGTGGAGGCCTCTAAATCTCCCTCCTCAATCTCTTCCTTCCTCTCTCTTTTCTCTCCTTCCTTTGTCTCTCTCCCTGTGCCACACCTTCCCCTGCGGGATTGAGGGATTGTGATCGGAGAATGGAGGTGGGGCTCCCGGTGCAACCACAGGTGTGCCTGTTTCCTCCCTTCTCCTGTCTCATGTAATGATTTCTTTGACTCGCCACCTGCCAGGTGGAAAAAACACCCACAGGAAAAGTGCTTCAAAATGGCCTCCTGGCATCTGCTTTAAAAGACTCTTTTTTCAGTTTGTCTTTTATCCAGTAACAAACATTTAAATGTCTTTTATTAACAATTAACTGCATTCACTTCAACAAGGGCTCAGTGCAACTACTTGTTGCATGTTTGCATTTTGCATCACATGCAAATGATGGCTTCTGTCCGTGAAAGCTGCTGCTGTGACCAAAGCAGCTGACAGAAATTCAGAGGATGCCTTCCCTCTTTTCTGTTGCGTCCCCCCTCCTCAGCTCTCTTTTCAAATGGCCTGGAGGGTGGTGGAGAGCAGGTCCCAGGCCCTGCCAGGTCAAAGGTCGCCCGCAGACAATAGGCCCCCACTCTGGGTCAGCTGTGGTCAAGGAAACAAAAGCTAGTGAGGACCTGGATTGGACAAACTATCACACTGTGTTAAGTTGGAGTAGTGACAACAAGACAGAGGGCGAGAGTTGGGATAGAGCCGACATAAAAAAGGACAACGTCTCATGCACTGACCCCTCTACTTACATATACATACAATTGTGCAGATTTAGCTTTTGTGCACACTTAACTTGTTTTAAAAGTTCCTCAAACATAATTAAATCTCTTACATTTAAATGGTAAATAACTTACAAAATTAACTATCGTCAGTGAGTAAATCAAATTCACAAGTAAAGCCAAGTGATTTTTTATCCCTCCTCTCTATTCTACCGGTATCCTTTCACATGGTTCTAACTTGTTCCACCCCCTCCCCCATGCCACTGTCTTTCTCCTCTCTTTTTTATCCACTGCCATTGATCATGCATGCAGAAATTCAGCACGCCCCAACTGTGGCTCCAGCCAGGATAGGTTAGCTAGTGCAAGGCCCTGTCCTACATACTGTTCTCTCGCCATGGTCCACCAGGCCACAGTCACACCCTCCCCCTGATCTGCCTCCCCTCGCTGACTTCCACCACTGCCATACACACACACACAAACACCCCGCGGCCAGTCTCAGACTCGGCACATGCACCGTTCATCACATGATGCCGGGAATGTTAACTCACTGCTGCTGAAAAAACTTTTTAGTCAGGTGCAGAGCGAATGAGAATTTTTCAGGGAGGGTTTATTTCTTGTTTAGTTTAACTTGTAACTTGTTATAAACACACACACACACACACACACACACACACACACACACACACACACACACACACACACACACACAGGTTTCCACAGCTATCCTTATTAGGATTTTGCATTGAGAGGTAAGAAAGAGGTAGCAAAAAACAAGGTGTGTGTAGCACACACACACAGACAAACACACACACACATATATATATCACCTGGCTCCCAAAAAACAACACAACTTAACCTCATGTGTTATTGGCGGGTGGCAACCAACGTCAAGGTGTATTAAATCAGTCTAAGACATTGTATTTAACAACATAATAGGCCTACTGTGTGTTTACGGCACGCTTGTGGTTCTCCTTTGCATTAAAGTCACAAATTGAAAAATTAAGCAGCTGTATTTCACCTGATTTTGCACGTGCTTTACTTGTTCCTCTTCTGTCAGAGCAGCTGAGGTTTGTGACGACAACACTCAGCTGACCAGGCTTGTCCAGTCCGAGAGAATGACGAACTTAGAGGTAATGCTGCTAATCTACCACTTAGCTGGTTAGGACGGCAGGTCACATGGGTGGAGAGAGACAGGAGGAGTGGGCAAGATCGGGTTTAGATGAGGGTTGAACTGTAATTGGGTAAGAACGAGATGAAAGATGAGTGGTGACCGCAGCTGTTTTGAATATGATGGATTAGGAGGAGAGCTGGGCAGCAGGAACAGGTGGGCTGGTGGGCTGGACCAGGAAAGGATGATTGATGAATGGAGATGACCTCAAATAATGTGTTAGCATGAAGTCTTGAGAGAATTCATGGATATGAGGGTAATGCCTCTGCTGATAATGAAAACATGTCTATCGGGTAACTAAAAAAAATCCATGTCAAAAATGATTCCAACATATGTCGTAGATTACAGTGACATATACTATGACATGATATCATATATGATCACATAATGCTTCACATTGTGCCATGTGAGATACATACTATATTGCATTGTACATACATACTATATTGCATTATACAAGAATAACATCTCACCCATTTTGACCTTGTCAGGTCAAATTACTTCATTGTCATCAATTAAGATCACATCGTATATAACATTACATTACATCCTATATGATTACATCACACCATATATGATCACATCACAAATCATCATGTGATCCATTCACATTATATCATATATCACTACATCACATTACATTATATGTTATCATATTGCATCACACTATATGTGATCACATCCCATTATATCATATATGATCACACCACATTACAGTATATATATGATCACATCACATTACAGTATATATATGATCACATCACATTACAGTAGATATATGATCCCATCACTTTACAGTATATGTGATCATATCTCATCACACCATATGTGATTACATCCCACTATATCATATATGATCACATCACATTATATGTGCGATCATATCGCATCACATTACATCATGTGATCACATCACATTACATAATGTATGATACCATCACAGTTTGCATTACATCATCAGCTGACTATGTAATTGAGCATTAAACGGTTTGGGAGCAAGTATCCTGGTTACAGATGCTTCCTTTCACCTGAGGTCTAACCTGGCACCACTGGAACACACCATCTCCCATCAGTAATAATTCCTCGAAGTCTGCACATGTAGCAGCCATGAAGCAATTACTCACCCAGCACAACAACAATCGGAATCTGCAGGCTACATTGGCCACTGGTTGTTTTTAGGCTAAGTCTTATCATTTGGTCATTTGCTGATATTGCTTAGTGTGCTTTTGTGTCATCACACTGCTGTAGCATCGTGTGTGTGTGTGTGTGTGTGTGTGTGTGTGTGTGTGTGGAGAAAAGCAAAAGCAAAACCATTCAAACGCTTTTAATGGGCCATGCTGTTGTGATCAGCCAATGACATGAACGGCGGGGAAACACTACACAGAGAGAGAGGGAGAGAGAGCGCGAGAGAGAGAGAGAGAGAGAGAGAGAGAGAGAGAGAGAGAGAGAGAGAGCCAGTGGCAGCATGAATAAAGGCAGGCAACGTGCAGGAGGGAGGAGGGAGGAGGGAGAGAGAGGGGGGAGGAGGTTCGAGGGCCAGGGTAGGCTACGGGAAACGAGCTAGGGGCGGAGCCTCTCTCTCCGAGCGTGTATGCCTACATGCATGTGTGTGTGTGTGTGTGTTTCCCCGCTCACCCCTCCTCCTTTCAACCACCCCACCCCCATCCCTGCTCCCCTCCCTCCCCTCTCTCTCTCCTCCCCTCCCTCCCCGGCTCGGCTGCCCGCCCCTGAGTCTGGAGCAGCGGCAGCAGCAGCGGCAGCAGTGAATGGAGCTTCACTGCCTCTCCTCGCCTCACAGTGCGGGAATTACACCAGCCGAGAGCGGAATGGACACGGAAGGGAGCCAGAGCAGCCTTTCCTCCGGCACGGACAACTCCCCCCACGACCCCTGGTAACGGCCTCCGTGCGCCCGCCTGCCCTTTTCCACGCGCTCCTGCTCGCCTCGGCCCGGTTTGAGTTCACCTTGGACTTTAGTTGAGTTCAGTGCGGGAGCGGAGCCGCGCCGAGACAAAAGACAAGCACGCTGCGTGTGTGTGAACGCGTGTGTGTGTGTGTGTGTGTGTGGGATGGATTCACTCCGCGGAGGAGACAGGGACGCACCGCCGCTCTTTCCCTCCTTCACGCTTGTTTATTTATCTCGCTTTGCCTCCACAAGGCCACATTGCAACTTCTCCTCCATCCAATGGAAAATCCTATCCCTCTCTCTTTTCTCTCTTCCTCTCTTTTTTCCCTCCTCTCCTCCTCTGGGGGATTATAACGGCCCGACTGGCCGATTGGTGACTTCGCAACATGGCCGATGCTTTCTTCTTACTTTTATTGACGCTGTAATTACGCACAATTCCGCCCTTCAATGAATGTGTGCCATGTGGCCGTGCAGTAAAAAAAAAAGACGCGTGTGTATGTGTTATTGTGTGTGTGCGTGCGTGTGACTTACACCTTCTGTTTCTCTCCATTCAGCAAAATGTTCATCGGGGGTCTGAGTTGGCAGACGACACAAGGTGAGCTGTCCCGCACGCTACTTTCACAAGTCTCAATGAAAGCCTCCTGTTTGTTTGTTTATTTTATCTCCCATCATGCTTGTGGCGTAATTACAGCTCCGTTACACTGCGGCTTCCTGAAGTTGAGGAGAAACAGTAAATAGTTGAATCAAAGCCTTGTATTCAATGAGGATCAGGATCTCAGGGTTTAGACTTGCAGAGAGACGCAGGAGGAGGAGGGGGATTAACACTGGAAAGGCGTGCACACACATACATGGACTTGTCTGGGTTTATTTCCTGCATGTGCACTCATTAACACTCATAATTAAGGGCAGGGAGGTGATCGATTGTTGTGTGTTCACGCACAAGTTCAGATCCTAACGGAGCCCAGGCTGCGCGTCTTGTTTTCCTCATTGTTGCGCTCCGCTGCGTCCATTCATTTATTTTAAGAGCCGTGCGTACAAGGCTGACGCGTGAGCACAGTTTTTATTCCCCTTACGTTATTACCCCGTCACTGCTGCTGCTGCTGTTGTTGTTGTGGCAGAGCAAGCAGCAGCAGATCGTCACCCCCAGCTCCGCAGGGCCTTCCAGGCTGGATGTGCCCGTGCTGGAGAGGGACACAAACACAACGTGGTCCGACCCCCATTGTCTCTCTCCAGCCACATCACCTCAGCCAGGACACGGCCTGTGAATCTCTCGCTCCTGCATGGTTTTCTTATTAATGTTTAATCACGATCCCTTTTTGCTGTGTCCGCAGAGGGTTTGAAGGAGTACTTCTGTAAATTCGGCGAGGTGAAGGAGTGCATGGTGATGCGAGATCCCGTTACCAAGCGGTCGAGGTAAGAAGGAGGCGTGTGCGCCCCGCCGTCCTATCACTGGATGCCTCATGCTCTGCCATGCTTCTCCACGACGAGTCTGTTTGTGACTTCGCTTTCGGATTTCACGCACTTTATTTAATTTGGTCTTTTACATGTGCTTTCACAGGGGCTTCGGGTTTGTAACATACGCAGAACAAGCCGGTGTGGAAAAGGTTTTGGCGCAAAATAGACACGACCTGGACTCCAAAACGGTGAGTTCTGGCCACTGCATGGAGACAGCTGCAGGACGGTGCCACTATAACTTGTCATTGGTAACTTTTCCCAGTCAGATTCTGTGTGGTGGTATATTTTTTCCCTTGGTGCATTTTGCTTCCCCCATGCACCGAAGGGCTTGTAAAGTTGAGGAGTAGAGCAGCCCCCTCTCCTCCTCCTCCTCCTCTCTGCTCATTTCCCCCTCCAAATCCCGGTTCAGGGCGCCAACATGAAAGCGTTCTTTCTTGGACTTCATTGCCATGGTTACCTGGGGGACCTGAATGGGGAAGGAGCCCCTGCAAAACCCTCACAGGGTTTACACAGAGCTCACAAGTTTTTTCCCTCTTCTTCCTTTTTTTCAAATAGCAAATAACAGCAGCAGCTTTGGTGGTGGCAACAGTCAGAGGGGGGAGAAAAAAGTTTTGGGGGAACAGTTGGGGCAGCAATGTCAGGGGGGAGCCTGCATGGTCCAGATGAGTTTAAGTTGGATTCGAATAGTGATGTTTTGTAGATAGAGGCTAGTGTTTGGAGAGGACGTGCCCGAACAGCTCATGTTGCTGGTGGGTTTCCCCCTCTTACACTGACACTGAAAATTCAAATGTTTTTAAATGGAGCAAATCGGTTCAGAGCGCTCAACATGCTAGTGGTTAGCTGCATCATTCACCTATACAACACACTGACTGGAACACAAGTGTGAATCCCTGTGGTTTGTAGTTTGGCGAGGGTGAAAGCCACAGACTCTGATTTAAATATCTATGAGAGTGTGGATGTTGTTGTCTTGGTCATGTAGATCGGTTGAGGGAATGGGGTGATGGGTGTGTCCATGTCAGCTTGTGGCCTTTCCTTAACCACACACACACACACACACACATACACCACACACACAATAGGGTTATTTGAGTGTGGAAAACAGTTGCACAGAAAGTCATCAGAGCCCATGGGTCGAGAGAGGTAGACCTGGTTAGTTGTTGGGAGCAGGCCGGTTGCCGGGGGTGATATCAGCCACAGGAGACAGTGCTGTTACCGACTGCACAGCCTGATGGGATTTATGTCGCCATAACAACTTCCATGCTAGTTTGCATTAACTCAAGACACTGGGCTTGGTTGGTTGGCTCAGCAAAGCTCTGACACACACACACACACAATGTTAAAACACGACAGACCTTTATACTTGTGTGTCTTAGCTGATAACGTGTATGTTTGTGGTGATTAATATTTAAAACGTTTTCAAGTATTTGAACTGAGTGGATGTTTCACACGGTTGCTGTGATTTTTATTTCAGAATGAGTGTTGCTGCAGGTAATGGCTCAGAGTTTTTAGTTGTCTTGGATGTGATTCTATGCAACTGTAAAGTGTTACTTAGTGAGTCATGTTACCGCTTAAAACCAGGTACTGCTGAAGTCTGTGGGAGCCAGACCGTGTGTGTGTGTGTGTGTGTGTGTGTTATGTGAACACAGGTTTGGAGGCTTGTGGAGGCTCAGCCTGGCAGGCCACTGGTGGGGTTAGGCGTTGCCCTATTATAAACCAAAACACCACATAAGGCTAAACAATAATAATGTTAGCGGCTCGACTGCAGTTTTGGCTGCTCAGGTTGTTGTGGTAGCGCCGAGTGGAGCGAGCAGCTCACCATGCCATTTATCCAACCAGGCATTTTAACACAAGGCTATGGTTGCCATTTTGTCGTTCACTTTGGGATGTCTGACTGAATGAACCCTTTTCTTGTGTTTACCGATCTTAGGTTCGCTCGAACTTTATAGATTAAAGCTATAATGACCTCCAACAAGATACATACAAACATACAAAATATTGCAGGGACCCCTCATGCATGTCCCTTGGAATAATTTGACATTTACACTTCTATATAGTTATATGAAAGCACAACGCCAGAGAAATGTCTTAGAAAGATGTTAGACATGTATTTTAATTTGTAAATCCCCATTTGAGAACCACTGTATTAGGCCAAATGGTTTCCATCTATATTTAAAAATTTTATGAAGTGAAGTCTGTGAACAGTTAATATTTTTTGGTATAACATGCTGCAGCTGGGAATCAACTTCGGGTCAAATTCTGTGTAGGTGGAATTAATACTTTTCATAGCGCCCATGTCACCCTTTGTGTCACACTGCTAACACCTAATTATGTTCTATATTTATTTATTTCTGTCATTTTCAATGCACTTTGAGTCTGCATCACACCTGGACGCCCCCTCCCTTCCCTCGCGCCACTGTATTGTTTGATCAGCATGAGATTTGAGGAAGACATTCCTTTCTGGAATGAGAAAGAAAGACTCGGTGTGCGGAATTTTTATTTTTATGCTGAGCCTTTAGTTTACGAGAAAAGGCGCTACAAGTCCTGAAGCAGGAAGAGGAGAGACGAGGGAGGTGGATATGAAAAGGACGTATAAGAGCAACAGGGTGAGAAGTAAACTATATTAACCGGTGCAAGGTCCATTGCACTGGTTACAAGTGGCATTAAACATTTACAGTCCTGTTACATCAGTATTGTTTTATGCACCCTTTAGAAACACTAAAGCCGAGGGCCGAGGGGAGAGTTTGCATCACAATACCTGCGTGCCCTGAAAATATAAATACAACAAATGTGAGGCTGTCTTTTGTTTTTCTAGAGTGAGCTCTGTTTGAGGTTGTTGTTTTGGTTGGAGGTCAGATTTCCTGTTAGGACAGAGTGTGGCCTCGGGGCAGTGCTGTGCTGTTGTATTTCTCTGGACGGAGAAGAAGGACACAACTGGTATTTGTTTTCTCTCATAGATAGTTTACGGGAACCAGTTAGGGGAAGGAGAAGAAAGACGAGACCAGTTATTCTCACTCCCTCGGATTATTGCAGTGATTTTAGATTTGTATTTGATTAATTAGTGATTGATCGTTGTATTCTTATGATTCAAATCATTCGCTTTTTTCATTATGATGGTACTGATGGTGTGTGTGTTTTTTTAACGGGCAGCAAATCAGATATTAAGGATGATGCCAAACTAATACCTCTTTTTCACCATAACTAGCAGGTATCCACTTTATCAAAAGGTAATTGACTCATCTTCCACTGCTGGTAGAGGAGTTTGTCTCTGTTTTCCTCCTGATGAGTCATGTTCAACGTCACAAACGTGCCAGAAACTGTCTTGCCAGAGTTACGTTTTGCACAATATGAAAAACAATAAGTACGCAAATATTCGTGGTTATTTGCATAACGCCGGAAGTTTATTTGGTGTCATAACGTCACACCGAAAATGTGCAGCATCAGCTTGTAGACTGCCAAAATAAAGAAAATGAAGAAATTTACCTGGGAGTCACATTTTCATCACTGTTGATTGAAGCTGATAAAATGTGTGTTTACTGGAGAATCATTTGACCTGGAGTGTACACTGATTGTATCCATTCCCATCGTAGACAAAAGCCAGATGTAAGTGGGTGTCAGTGGGTTTTTGGACCCGTGAAAAAGGGACTTTAGAAGGAAATACATTTATGGAGGAAATGGCAAAAATAAGTTCCATACATAGTTTGTTTTTTTATTTAAACTTTCTCCTGTTGACGTGTTGCCATTGGCCCAACTGTTTGTGAAGGTACAGTAGCAGTTGCCATAGTATGGTGCTAATAGAGCTACTATCACTGCAACAACATACTGTATGTTAGCAGCAGCCTCTGAGGACCATTGGCACTACAGATTGCCACTGTCACAGTCTTTGCTGGTCTAACACCTGGTTAGTGGAGAGTTCAGTTTGCTAGCGGTAGCTCTTTTGGCTCCTGACTGGAGATTAGCTGTTAATGCTGACATGGACAAAACTGGAGAGAGCAGGGGGGGTGGAGAAGGTAGAGGAGAAGAGAGAGATCGGGGGGAGAGAGAGAGAGAGGGAGGGAGGCCCGGCTCCTGTGCTGTAATTAGTATGGATCTGAAAAGCAACTAATCGGATTGAAGGAAACAAACTGGATTGGGTTTCCGAGAGTCCATGCTTGGCCTCAGATCCGGGGATAAAGCCTGGACCTGCTCTGAGGGTGGATCGAGGGCGCTCTGTGGTCGTGCCACAAACTCGGCCTGCACTAGAACCAGCATCATCGCCACCTCACTCAACCGCCACGGCGAGGCACTCAAGCTGGGTTACCGGGGTAGCGGCAGGGTTGGGTTGGGGGGTTCCTCATTAGTGAGCTTCGTTAACTAATTACTGTGCCATTGTTCAGCTGTGCAGATTGACCCTGCTGGCCCGAGCCCAAACCAAGTCTCTCCCTCACTGTGTGTGCATGCATTGACATGCCAACTCCCTTTGTCCCCCGTCCTCTGTTTATAGCTTTTTGTTGTGCTTATATTGATTATATTGCACATAATGGGGTGGCCTGTGGTGCCTTTTTCATGAACGTGCGTGCCATTTTGTTGCAGGAATGTCTTGGCAGGTTGTCTGAGCCTTAATGTCTACATGTGGTTTGACACATTACGACAAATATATTTATTGTCAGTGGTGTGGAAGGAGGTGGATAGTATGTGTGTACATTTGTGTGTCCTCGCTCTGATAATTACATACAGTATGTATGTCATTTAACATGTGTGGGGGCTTACATTATGTGGGGGCTTGTGAGTGTGTGTATGTATGCATGCCTGTGGGGGTAGCACAGGAGCCCCAGTTCCTCTACGGGCCCATCTGTTTTGTACTCTTTGTCCTGTTAATTAATGGAATCAGAGGGGCTGCCTGCTGGGACGGCCCCTCTGCACCGCTACACTGGACAGGCCCACTTTCTCATGGGCCCACTCTGTTTTCCAAATGAATTCCTGCTCTTTCTTCCTGTGCCTTTTCTCCTTCCTATTCTATCTACCTGTCTATCTATCTATCCATCTATGTGACATTCTATCATTTTATTTTTGTTTTCCAGTTTGTAACACTGGTGGACGCGCTGGGCCACGTGAGGTGACTATTGGCTGTAGATTAGTCTCAAAAGCTAAACCACTAAAAAAAAATCATACCGTAGGCTCTCGCCGTCACTGCGCTGCTTAGATTGAGCGGAGGTTGGATGTCATGAAGCAGGATGCTAGTCAGACCATTTCACCGACACTCAGTCATAACTCTTCTCTGTCCGACTTTTTGTCCTCCGCAGAAAGGCTTCACCATTATTCTTGTGTGGTTACATCTTGTCAGCGGTCCTGATTTGGACTGTTACTTTTACACAGCCACTTCTTAAAAAATGTCAAGCCTCCCACTGAAGAGCTACTTCTGAGTGTTGCACACGGTGACCTGGCTAAGTCATTTTCACTATTTTGCTTTGTGGCCTATCTTGTCTTCCTCGAGGCTAATCTGCCAGTCTGATAGATGCTGTAGTTTTTCATCTATTGTTGCCTTTCTCTGAATACAGCCAGATGTAGAAATGACGTTATATAGATATATTCTGTTTCTTCGCTGAAGTGGAATGATTTTTTTTAACCGCATGGCATGACCATAGCTGTAGTAGCACTACTACAGATACTGCATTAGGCCTAACCTAGTCTAGCTGGTAACCTTCTGAATTCCAGGTTGTTTTAAGATCGTCTGCTATGAAATATTGGTGTCAACGTGTGTAGTATCAGTGGTCAATATTACACTATATAAACCATGAGAAAAGTTTGTACCCTTATATATCTTTACCATCATACCTGTCTTTAATATCTCTGTTTTTATGATGTTGTATTAAAATGATTATTTCTACTTATTTGTGAAGTTTGTAATTCTCTAGATAAGCCAAATAATTACTGCTCAGTTATTTTTTGTTGTGTTTCCAAGCAGAAATTAATGTAATGTGCAAAATGTTCAATTAGTGAAAATGCTTTTTAGTTGGTTGAATATTTTTTTTCCTTTCTGGATATACTACTGTGTTTACTGTGGCGATCATTGGTACGTGACTGCAGCCATATGTTTGTGTTGGGTTCCTCTTGCCACAGCTCACGGCCTGCGTCTGTGCCACATAATCGCCTCGGGGCGGCTCCTGTACTCTAGTCTTGTTAAAACGGTTAAAGGCAGGTGGGCTGACCTGAACACGAGAGGCTGTTACCTCTCAGTGCTTTCAGATGGGATGAAGAAACACCGGCCACGTTGCATGGCGTTTCTCGCGGACTGCTTTGTTAAAGTTAGGTTAGGGTGTGTAGTGGTGTTGATATTACAATGAAATACAGTGTTTAAAAAGCAGTGTTCCTCTGTGGTTGTATTACTGTGTTGTTCTTCAGAGGTCACAGCAGCTTCTCTCTCCTCTAATGCTTGTTGTATTTATGCCTCAAGACAAGTGTACAGTTTAGAAACAGTGTATTTCAGTATAGTACAGGTGGACAGAACTGTACTGTATCAGACCAAAGCAGCTGCCTCTGGCACGATTGTGTCTTCTGCTCTCTTGTCCGTTTAGTGTCTATTGAAGGTTAAAAAAACCATGTGGTACATACAGTGAGTCACTTGCTTGTGAGTGTGCAGCACAAAGCCACACACATATATTATGTTACGCTTGGCCCATTAAGCACAGATCCAGTAAGTAAACGCTGTGCTGCCACTGTTTGTGTGCGCACTCTCATTGTTGCTGCCGATAGTCTGGTGGACATCGCGTGTCCTTGTCACCATTGTCTCTGCACTGAGACCAGCTGGAGGTGACACGACACTTCACGTCTTTGTGTCCCCACTTGAAGGTGCGACGTCCTCCTGCCATCCTCTCCAAGGACGTGGCAGCTGCATCTTAGTTACACGGCGTCATTGCTCCCTGAAGCAGCAGTTAATCCGCGGCACTTAAAAGGTCCTCCCAGGATTGGTCACCAGGAGCAGGGAGTTATAATAGGAAAGAGATGAGAGGATTGTTTTGGATATTGAATCAACGGCCTCCCGTTGATTTGTGTATGTTGTTCACATTATAAGTGCTTTTTTTCTGGCCGTATGATGGGCTTCTTTTAGTCGCCAATATCAATTCAATACCTCTGACGGGTGGCAGCCGGAGACACAAGGGGTTTCGCTTCACACATCCAATTATTAGAACAAAGATGGAAGTCTAAGACCATAATACACTACAAGGCCCTGTGACCTAAAATCATCTCTCATGTTGGCTCGGGTGAGAATAACACGAGATTCCACACAATTTTAAAATGCCAGGCCGGGCTTTGCATATTTAGAGTTATTAAAGGCCAGCTCATTCAAAACTCATTTGCTTCTAATTTTATCTGTAACCTTGACCAGTGTGGAGACGTTTCACTGAGCAGAAATATGGATACAGTCAAATCTGGCTTATCTAAAATGGGGGTTGTCTGGATTTGTGAGGTTTAGACAAAATAGATATCTCCATCTGAATTATAGGCAGAATATTAAATGCTCATTTTGGATTTTGGACTGTCCAATTTGTCCCTGTAACACATTTAGTGCAGAGAATGTATGCATTCACGTCTCGCTGTGTGTTCGGTTTTCGTTGCCTTGTTTGTTTGGCTGGTCGGTTTGGAGTTTTTTTGGGAGGGGGCTTGCATAAACAAGGGGCTACTATACATACTCTACAGATTTGCATATGCTCTATTTCTGGACTTGTAGGCCTTCAGATGGTTCAGACTCAGGCTCAGTGTAATAACTGATTCTGGTTTGTTAACAGTGTGATAATTCACCGATGCCCAGAAGGAAAGTCACTTTTGCACTTTTGCAGCAACGGGATCGACCACTAACATATATCCAGAGCAGGCGGAAGATTTGGTGCCTTTGTTAAAGAGACTTATGCAGGGTGGACCTCCACGTCTCAGAGGGCACAATTTAATTTCTGTTTAACCCAGTATTATCTTTTTGGTTTCCTAGAGATCTTTTCACTAACTGCTCAAGAACACATTTTACATTTTATCAGAATGAAACCCCAGGATTTGATTGATTTATTTTTTGACCTGACGTCGTTTTTCCCATGTCTGCATTTCTAATGTGTGGGAGCTCGGAGAATACAATGGATTTTCATATGCTTCATATGTCTGTGATTGTTGTTGACAGTTCTTTTTATACAGCACCACTGCTCCCAAATCCTCAGTACGTCTAATTGGATTCCTGTTGTTTTCAAACAGAGGGAGTTAGAGTTTTATGACGTCTATTAGTGTCTAAATGACCCGAAACAGACATAACTTCATATCGCACGTCTGTGAATGATCTTTTGGCGAACTTAAGCAAAATATACAGTACAATTTATTAATGCATAGTCCATAAAATTTTAATATAAAGTGTAATATTTTGTCAAATTCATTAAATGTGCAAGCCAAAGTGTCAGACGGACAGGTTTTTACTTTAATACGTCTCTATAGAAAAAAAACAAAGAAATGTATTTGGTTACATTAAAAAATATGAATTATTTTATATGCACGTGGTGAGTTCTGTGGATCCTCAAACTATGAGAAGATTAAACAAATATCAGTAAATAACAAGTGTTATTTGTTAAAGAAACTGATTAAATATTCCCTGAAATTCCCGATCCAGATCCGCACCCACATTTTATTGTGTTTCTCTCTTGACCCAAACCACATCCCTCAGACAAGTTTCGTGGTAATCCTTCTGGTAGTTTTTGTGCAATCTATCTAACAAACAAGCGGACAGTGGAGAAAACAGAACCTCCTTGGCAGAGGTAACGATGTGTAATGCAGTTGTGCTGGCCTCCTACAATCATTCATAAAAACAACAGTCAAGTTCACAATAGAGGCTTGAAATACGTAATGAAAAATAGCGGAATAATAAAATAAATATGTGTTTCACTCTACACCTTTAAGAATTTTGAACTTTTTTATGTTGTCTCTCCTCTACAGATCGACCCTAAAGTGGCGTTTCCCCGTCGGGCCCAGCCCAAGGTGAGTGCACCCTGAAGGGGTTAATGGCTAAAGGAGGAGTCAGGATGATGTCATGTGTCACCCCCAATCACTCAGCCCTGGTTGGCTGGGATTAGAGTCAGTCACGTGATCAGGGAGGAGCGCCAATCCACTTGTCCAGCCTGACACCGTGGCCCTGTACCCTGACCTTAACAACCTCCCCCCACCTTGCACCCCGACCATCAGCGCGCACATACACACACACACATAGGCTTTTTTGTGTCCTGGAAAACACATGAATGAGCACTCACCTGCACGCACACACACACACTCACTCACACTCCTTAGAGCTCAACCCTGCACTGAAGTGAATTAACCTGACTGCTCAGAGGAGCTCTCAGAAACCTCTGAGATTAGACAAACACAAACAAACACTAAGTCTCTTTATCACAGGCATCTACCCCCCCCAATTCTAATGTGATTAGTGGTAAACGATGCCTTCTTCTTCTTCTCCTCTGCTGCTAGCTGGTGACCAGGACAAAGAAGATCTTTGTTGGAGGACTGTCAGTCAATACCACCATCGAAGATGTGAAGCAATACTTCGACCAGTTTGGAAAGGTGAACCATAGACAAATCTGGGATCTATTTGTAGCCGCTCAGTGACGAGCTCCTACCTTTCCTCTGATGCAGTGGTTCCCGACCTTGACTTGCCTCAATCTGGTCGGCTGAATCTATTTAAACTGAAAGTGGATACAATTGTTATTTAGGCTCCTGCTCCCCACAACCCTTAAAGGATAAGCAGTATAGATATTTAATGGATGGATTCTTAAAACAATGATTGATTATCCAATCTTTGGCCACAACACCTGAATTTTTCAACAATTTGTCCATTACTTTTAAATCGTCATTCCATCTGCTAACTAGAATGACACGCAGTAGTTGCACACACTCATAAATATCAGTCCCCTGAATTTGTCAGATTTTTTTTCATCACGATCCATGAATCATTCTCAAAATAATCAAGGAAATGTAAAAAAAAGTGACAGAAAGTGAAAAACATTCACATCTAACATTAACAATTTGAACCATTAATCTTTTAATAATTATTAGAACTAGAAGATGTGGTTCTTTAAAATGTACAACTGTAAAATACCTGATATATTATAATCATAAACAATAATTACTGAGCGCAACCAAAGTTTTAGAAAACATAGAATGGGGCCAGTTTGTCTGAAGATCTTACAAAAGAAAACAAGTAGCTAGTGGCCAGCCAAGTATAGACGAGGACGACCAAGCTCTGTTTCATGTGTTTCTTACACCAGTATAACATGAAAAAAAAGAAACACAGTGGTACAATACTCTACAAAGCCTTTTCAAACATACTATAGACACAGAGGTCTTCAATACTAAAAGCCCATTTAAGTACAAACTTGACAACACCATAGGCAGTGACACAGACAGGTGCAGAGATGGAGTTACAACTGATTCATTTAACAATCTAACTCATTACTTCACAACCAAAATTTAACTTATGAAAAAGTAATCATGGATGATTCACTCGTCAGTTGTCTTCCCTGCTCAGCCAGCTGTGGTTTACTATAGTATATAAAATACATCACATAATGATTGATTGATCTGTTTCATCATCGTTTTGAAACAGCAAATTTAACTCGTTGCTTCTTGACATTTTACATGCACCGGATGTGCACTTTGTCTCCATGTTAACACCATGCCAGATTTAAAAAAACATTTACATTGCAACTGTAACTTTGACAGTCAGTCAGTATCCGTCAGACATCGGCTGCTGTGGTCCTGCCAAACATCCAGCTCAGTGGGGGCCCCTGCTGAGCATGGGGCCCTGGGGGCGGCCGCACCCTCTGCCCCCGCGGTCGCTCCTCTCATGATGCCAGCTGTTTATCCATGAATATTATTTCAATCATTTATTAATCAGACATTTCATTTTTCTATTATCACTTACAATAATTGTTTTAAGCATTCTCCTTTTAACTCATTCAACCCATTATCCATTAATGTAAGCTAACTATTTCAATTATGTATCATTACTATTAGCTACATGAATCATTTATCCATTAGCTCAATATTCCCACAGTTTCTTACTCTTAGAAAAATGTTTGTCATTGCTCTCACATTTACTTGTTATCTGGTCTTTGCACACATTTATTTTTAACTTGTGTTGATTGGCTGTTGCAGCTGACTCAGTGTGTGGACACACATTTTTAATCAAATCTAAATTTCAGTTTCATCAAATTAGTTGTGCTACTCTACAATCTTTCCACCTACACACTGTGCAACCACAGATGCTACCACTGGAGAACAAGTACCCCCTGGTTGGGAATCACTGCTCTAATGGACCTTTGATGAACTGTACTCGTCTTTTCTTGCCTTCATCATGTTCTATCTTTTCTCTGCGCATTTGCAAATTTACAGAGAAGGAATTGTTTTGACACTTTTTGCTTTAGTCGACTTCCCCCCTTCTTTCGAGTCAGTGCTCGACAAAAGCTGCAAACTGGGCGTAAAAGGTGGTGAGAAAAGGGCCAGATGTTGAAAGTGAAAGAAAGGATTGAAAGAGAGAAAGAACTCAAAGAGTAGAGAAGGGGAAAGAGGCAGTGTGGTCATCTGTGTTCTGCTCTGGCAGCTCCAGCGCGAGTTTAGTTTCTTTATCTCTTTTGTCGGCCATTTAACTATTTGCCGATCACATCTCTGTGTTTTTTAGCCTCCATACGTTTGTCCTGCTCTGCCCCCTTTGAATGAAATGTGGAGAAAGGCAAACCCATGCTGTGGAGACAGATGAGTGGCCGGGGAGAGGGAGGAAGAGAAAAAAGCAGCGAGGGGAGGGGAAGAGGAGAGGAAGATGGCGGGGGACTGAAAGGGAAGAAGCAGCCCCCCATGGAGAGAGAGGGAGGGGATGTCGGAAAGGGTTGAAGGGCAGAGAAAAGGAGGAATGTTGAGATAGTGAGGAAGAAAAGTGGAGATCAAAAGGAGGAAAACAGCAATCTGATGGGCTGTAAATGTTTGAACGTATCTGTCATGCAGGAAAGGGTAAGTTTTTTTGCTAACTTCACTTCGGGGGGTTTGGTAGTGTGTTAGGGTCCAGGCTCTTCAGTATTACCCAATCAAATGCAACAGCTGCTCCTGTAACAGCCCCCCTCCCGAACCACCTTATCCAAAATCTGTACCTCAGACACCAGCTCCCCTCCCATCCCATAGAGTCACACACACCCTGCTCCGTTCCCTCTCAGCTTGTTGCCGTGGTGACCTGCTTTCGCCCATTGTCCTGCTGTAACCCAGTGTGTGTGTGTGCATGTGTGTGTTTTTTGTTTCCTTTAATAATGCGTGAGAAGTGTGTATTTGCATGAATGGAAAGATGGGTGTGTGTGTGACAGTGGCATCATGGAGGCTGCAGAGGGAGGCGAGGCTGCATACATTTGTCCAGATACAGACAGACAGCGAGACTCACAGCCAGTGATCCACTTGTCACAAACACTGTGTGTGTGTGTGTGTGGTTCTGCTGCTGTTGACCAGTGAGCAGGGCCGTTACAAAATGAGTGTTGCTCCAGGATGTAGGCCTAATGGTTTGGAAGAAATTAACAGCACGAAGCTCCCTCTGCCTCGTGTCCGCCCGTGTTTTTCTCTCAGCTGGCCTCATGTTCGGGGTCATTACCATATCTCAGGTACTGGTTCAGATTTAAATAACTGGCACAGTGCTCTGGAGCTACTTCAGAATTAGAATTTCCAGTTCGACAGTATACTGTCACTTTTTATTGTTTGTGTGCTGGACGTTGTGTGCGGAGCTTTTTATAGTGAAGGTGCAGAGTGTTTATCAGAAGATTTTATAGTCAGTGTTTTTTAATAACATGAAACAGAATTTTCTTTATTTCTCTTCCGCATGTGTTACACTCTAATATGGGTAATTCTTTTTACATTGGATTTCGTGTATTTCGACACAATCTTCAAACAAGCTCTGCAATTCAGCTCGACATAAAGCCTCACAGCAACAAAACCAATGTGCTTTTACTTTGAAGAAAAATGACTAAAGAGGAAATTAGTCTATGAGGGTTGTTGCCACGATGGAGATCAGCCCTTGCGTGACAGCCATTAGTCCAATATGGTGAAAATAAACATGGTCTGGATTAAAATGAATCATATTTTGAAAATGATATCAGATATTATTGGATGCAGGCTGCCTGTTACTGCAGCTGAAGTTTATCCGAGGACGTAGAATAAGACATGTTCAACTGAAGGCACACTGTCCCGCTCGCACTGACTGCTACACAGTACTGGTTGCCTGTTTATTCAAATTTACTTAATATTGAAGGTATCACATGTCCAACTCTTCACTGCACCTCTCTAGGCCATTAACTATACACATGGCAAGTGAGAAGCCGATAAGAAGAACAGTTCCTGAGAAATGCAGGCAGACGTCCTCTGTTTTTGGGCCGTGGATCCAGGTTGACATGTGTGACCATCACCCTCATTGTAAGGCGGATGTTGACATGTGTCATGTTTTACTAGAGCGTGTTTTTATTGAAAGTGACTGCAGCTCTGTGCCGAATTACTTCTCCCTGGTGATCACAGACACTCGTATCTAAGACAACATTCCCTCCGCAGGATGAGGGGGATATCTGGACTGTTTGGACACGTGAGACCAAAGCTGTATCATGGATAGCGCCGATCCCACAGTGCATTCCTGCCGAGCAGGAGGTATTTCTTGTTTATTATCCGAGCCTGGTTACAAGGTGCAGGTTGGGATGGAGTGGGACTCGGCGCCCTGTTTATTTTCATACCGTGGCACCGCCCCGCAAAGGAAAACACAGAATGCACTATGCATTTTCGGCGACCCTTTGATTCGATTTTTTTGGAAGTACACTTCTGAAAGCACACTTACGCAAACTTTATTAGACTGGACTCGACACATCAGGTGTTTTGGACCAAAGTGAGGAGTTGAAAGCAGTGTTTACGAGTGGTTTCCCTAACAGAACAAGTCTGAACTGCTGTTGCTGAATGTCCCTGCACCAATGAGACCACAGCAGCCATGTTTGATGAAGGTCTTGTGATCCCCCTCAACCAGGTGGAGAGTTGAGAACACCTCCCTCCTTTCTGCTACCGGTGAATGTAGAGCCTGTGTGGATCAGAGCAACGTGTTTTTAACAGGAAATCGGGCTTATAGTTTGGTGATTTGATGATTAGCACTTTAGTCATTTAAGACACACAGTCAATTATGTTTAATCCAAAGGAAATTCCCAGTTTTGATTTTTTTCCAACCTCTGTACTGCATTCCTGAAAGTACCTTACATTTAAAAAGTAGCATTAATCCTCTGATGGCCTCTGACTGGCTGGTGGAGATTATTGTTTGCGCGAGTTAAATCCGTTTGAACCAAAAACCATAATAGTTAAAACAATCCTTCTTTTTGCCGCAGAAAGCCATGGCATCCATCTTATACCTCATTATGTTGTATGGCTGTGATGACGTCTTAACATTTGGTTAAGTGCGGTGAAATATGTGTCGACAACGTTCCGTGGTGCCAGGGAGTGGCATGAAAGGAGCTGAGAAAAATGGGCAAACAAAGAGTGTTAAGAAATATTTTGTCCATTTTTTAATGTTTAGAAATCTGTTAGATCAACATGTTTTATGTGTTTATTAAGCACAATTCCGGGAAAACATTTAAAACGAATTTTAATTTATAATTGTTTTTTTGTACTTTTATGATTAATTGACTTACATAACTGTTAAGCTTAGGTTTTGGTGATATGAGGCATTGCAAGACATCAAGTAGGAAAAAGCCCCCATCTAGGCACCATTTCTATTGCAGAGTTCAAAGAATTAAAGCCCTCCCCTCTTAAGCTCTTTTAAAACAAAACGGGAGAATATGTTCGAGTGGCAAGTGAAAGAAAAAAGGGGAAAAGATGAAAAGTGCAGCATGTGGAGAGGGCAGACGGGAAAAGTTAGGACTCCGCTCACCCATGTGAGCTGGCGATTAGGAGGCTTGACTGAGCACTTTGTCTGCTGGCCTGTTTAGAGAGAGAGATGGCCGCGGAGAGAGAGAGGGAGAGAATAAAAGAGCGAGATGTGAGGAGACAGCAGGGAAAAAATGTGAATGCCACCTTTCATAATCTTGGGGGAAAGAACGTGTAATGGACTTGCCAGCAAACACTTGTTCTTCAGACAATAGCAGCATGCTTCAGTAAAACCTGGATATGTTTTACTGCTGCGCTCTGGAGGCTGCACAGTTAACCCTACATCTGAGAGACAGGGGCCCAACTTCATGAGAATATGACCTTAACTTTTCTCCACTCTCCGCATGCATGCTGAGCAGTTAGCGACTGAGCCGCTGCTAAGCCAATCTCCGACCCCCACGGCTATCCAATCAGATTGTCTTACAGCACCCTGGGTAGTGGACATCGGAGAGCATCTTCTTATTGGTTCTGGCAAGGGCAGGGGGGGACTGGTGTGCGACCACAGCATAAGCTCACACACGTTTGCGAGTCAGCACACCATTGTATTCTCATGGAAGACAATTAGGCTAACCATATTAGCCTGACCCCACAGCACATATAATCTTTTTGTGCCGGCTTTAAAAAAAAATTGGCTTCGGAGCAGCACAGCTCCAAAGCCCCTGGCAGCGGCCCGTGCGAACCATCCTTCCAGAATAGATGCTGCTAATGCTAACAGGAGGGCTAGCCGTGCATGTAACTCTAGTCCTATGATAACATGTAGGCTCGCAGCTGTCTACTTACTGTCCTGTTCCCCCGGCTCTCTGCTGTGTCATTGAGTTTGGACGACCGGAAGGGTGCTAGGCATGAGGGGGGGGGGGGTTAAAACTGAATGAAGGACAGAGAGAGGAGGGGGGGTGCTCTGCATGTTTGTGTGAGTGTGTGTTCAAGCTATACATTGAGGAAGAGAGTTAACAGGGTCATGGAGGCTGTAGAAGCAATCTCAAAGCTCTCCATATTCATCATTTGGCAGGAATAAGGGAACGCTTGTGTGTGTGTGAGCTTTTCTTACGAGGTAAAGGTTAGAAATCGGATGGTCTGGTCATCCACTGGCCTCTGCCACTCATGTTACACTGGTTTGAGTTTCAGTGCTCGCTGCCTAATGAAAATAGCAATGTAGTCATACTCCCCGTGTGTCTCCATGTGATACAGTCAGGTTGCGTCGCAGATTTGTGTGAGTTTTTTTTCCTGGGACAGCCAAGAAAACCAAAGTTATTTCTCCTGCGATCCCGGCCTTGGCTTCCCTGTCTCTCTCTCTCGTCATGCCGTCAGAGCCGCAGCAGAAGCTGCTAACTTTCCTGCCAGTGAAGGACAAGTGGGGGAGGGAGGGAAGAGAGAGGGTGAAAAGGGGGAGGAGGAGGAGAAGGAATATGAATAGGGCAGTGGAGTGAGTGCAGAAAAGGAAAGTGGAGGGAGAAGGAGAATAAAAGGAGAGCGTGTTAACAAAGACCCTGGTTCACTTTGTCCTCTGCTCTTCTCTTCAAAAGTGTTCACTCAGAGATTTTCTATCTTCTATCAAACTTTACCCTCTATCTTTTTTATTTATCACACCATAATTCATCACTATTTTCCCCTTTTTTCTCTTATGCTTACTCTCCCTCTCTTTTCCCGCTTTTCACTCCATTCTTCTCATTGAAATGAGTTTGGGTTTGAGGAGGGAGGGGGGCAAGTTCTTCTAATTGAAATTCTTTACAGGGTCTCCATGGGAATAGTAAACTTTGCAGAGAGGGGAAGAAAGACAGTGAGGGTGAGCGAATGAAAGGGGGAGAAAAGAGGAGAGATGGAGCAAAGAGTGGGAAAAGAATTTACTCCCGTGCACGTACACTTTTCTTTTTCGCGATGATAGATTGTATTTTATTTTTATACAGCTCCCCCTCATTTACCCATTGCTCTCTTTCTCTCTCTCTCTCTCCTCATTCTTTCTTTTTTCTTTTTCTCCTTTGTCACCTGTCACCCTCCCTCCCTCACCCCCCCCCTCCACCCTCTCCATCTGCTTTCCCCTCTAACTCTAATGCTAAAAAGGGACAATGGCACCCCATGCTGTGTAATGGTCTGTGTGTGTGTGTGTGTGTTAATATGTCGTTGCTCATTTATCCTCCGCTTTGTTCTCACAGGTCGACGATGCCATGCTCATGTTCGACAAAACAACCAACAGACACAGAGGTATGTACGCAGAGTAACCGTTAAGACTCCCAGAGACAGGTCCTCATGAACGAGGAGGGAAACAGCATGATAGAGTCATTAGGTGAAGCTCCACAGAAAAAAAGAAATGGTAGAATATTTCTCTGTTCACATTCTTCTCCTCCGGCTGCCCCTCATTTCATTTATCTCTGTCCTCTCTCAGTGAGGCAGAAGTGCAGCGCCCGCTGAGGGTCACGGTGCGGGGTCAGAATGCTTACAGGCGAGGATGTAACTTAATGAGACGTGAGAAGTGAGGAAAAGAGGGGAGAAGGGAAACGAGGGAGGGTGGAGGGGGAGAAGAAGAAACTGGGGTGTGATTATTGGTAGAGGACAGATATACCTGATCCTCCATGATGTCAACACCTGATGACAGAGCGAGCCACGCTCACACTACTGACATCTGTGTAAGGGGATGGGGTTTAATGAAGAGACGGAGGAAGACAGAAACACTGCGCTCGCACCACCTTTAAATTGAAAGCTGTATAGATAATGGATGGATGACTATTGCCTCTATTACACTTAATAGAGAAGTCAGTTGTGACACTGTCACAAACATTTTATTTCCAGTAAAATTTGAAGATCTGAAGGGGTAGTGTCTCCTCTACATACTTTATGCCTTTGTCACAAACTTTAGGATATCACAAACATGTCCAATCAGAGAGGTCAAGTGTTGGAATTACAGTCTGTATGTGTGTGTTTGTGTCTTCCAGGTTTTGGCTTTGTTACCTTTGAGAATGAGGATGTGGTGGAGAAAGTGTGTGAGATTCACTTCCATGAGATCAACAACAAAATGGTAATGACACATTTCCTCAACTCACAAGCTTTCAATTGGCTAACCTTCATTTAAACACGAAATCTCCAGTACCTTTGCAGTTGTTGTCATATATTGTAATTAAATGATCAGAAACATATTTCTTTAGGAGTGTTTCTGATAATGAGTTTTGTGTAAGCATTGTTTGAATCTCAGTAGTACTTGTTATTAAATGATCATTTACTTCCTATGTTTCAGGTGGAATGTAAGAAAGCCCAGCCCAAGGAGGTGATGACGCCGACAGGCTCAGCCAGAGGCCGCTCCAGAGTGATGCCTTATGGGATGGACGCCTTCATGCTGGGCATTGGCATGCTGGGTAAGATCCAAACTCAAATATACCTGAAGCAAATACACAGTAGCATGTGGAGGTTCATTCATACACATATACACATTTAAAGTGCTAGTCATTGATAAGTCTCCTGAGAGATTTTTATTCATTAGAAGAAGGTGCTGTTGTTGCAGAAGCTCAACACAGCACATTTCAGTTTTATCAAATATCTTCTAATGTCACTGCTATCCCTGCGTTTAACCCTTGAAATTACTATAACGTATTTACATTTGTATAAGTGAAGAGTTTACATAATTGCTGTAAGGAAAATCAAATAAATTATAATTGCTATTTAAAAGAGTAATACATACCTATTTTTCTGAACACCATATTTGTCGATTGATGTGATTTTTGACCACTTCATTGCTCATCATCTTTGTGCTGTAATATAAACGTGATCTCACATCATGATGAAAATATCCTTTACGGCTGCTTTCATCCAGTATTTCTAAAAGTAAACCCATTTAATTTGATCTAAAGGTCTTGATTAGATTAATATTATTGTCTGAGCTGATTCTCATAGGCACATTTCCCCATGAATAGACCTACTGTGTATCTGAAAAATTTAGAGGTCACATACTGAAGGACGACACAGTTCTGCTCAGTGGAGTAAAAATATCTCTTGAAAAGAGAAATGAAGAAAAAAAACTGCTATACCTATGTCATTTATAGCTGTTTGGCTCCCTCTACTGGACATTTGACATTGTACCATACTATTGTCCCCATAGTCCCAGTAACAGCTGTGGAGTCACGTGACACGGACCCTTAAAGAAATACAGGAAAAAATATTATGGTGATGTTGATCATCACATCATTATTGTATGTTCCCGCTTGGATAAACTGATCCAGTGAATATCTGATCAAAATAATCCCAGAACCAAAAAGAGAACCTGTACAACTAAATATCAACTAGTTCACATTTATGGCTGGGTCTGCTAGTTTTTATTTACATAAATAAAAGTTGTTGTCTACTATCTCTAGTCAGAGTAAAGAGAAACTGGTTAGCATTAACTAACTTCACTACAGGCTGATGAGTTAGTCACTAAATGAGAGACACTAAACTTACGTGTCTGCACTCATCATTTTAAAGTTCACCAGCAGCTCAGATCAAATTTCATGAAGTGCTCTCTTCCTGTGTGTGTTAACAAACTGATGATTGTGTGTCTTCCTAAAAGGCTACCCAGGTTTTCAGACTACTACCTACACCAGCCGCAGTTACTCTGGAATTGCGCCTGGCTACACTTATCAATTCCCAGGTACGTCTGTATGCACCTCACACACTGTTCACTCTGCTCTCGAAGATACAGGCTGAATGAGGCCGGCTGTGACATGTAGTTGATGCAGCTGCGAGTCCTGTGTTGATGAAGTGTGTTTGGTCGACGGACACACACAAACACACACTTGTTAACACAGTCTTAACATCAGTGGATTCTCTGGCTGCTTGTAAATGCTTTAAGAGTTTGATTTTCAAATTGTTCCCCACGCTCCTCCTCCTCTGAAAGACCTTTTTTATGTCTCAAGTCTCTAATGTTGATCTTCTTCCTTTGATTTGTGACCTCTGTTATTCTTCTGTGTTTATTTTATCTACTTATGTAAGCGCCTTTCATTTCGCCCCTCCTCTTCCTCTGCTCTACCTTCCTGCCCTGTCTCACCAAAGAGCTCTGACTTTCTGTGCTTGTGCTTCCATGTTTGAGGCAGCGGCAACGTGCGTGTTTGTGTGACTGTGGCTTTGTAGTGTGGCGGGTTGATGGTGACTGTATTTATAAAGCGCTCTCTCTCTCTCTCTCTCTCTCTCTCTCAACCCTCTCTGTTTCTAGAATTCCATTTAGAGAGGACCCCCCTCCTGACATCATCCCACCCCCCTGAGCTGGCAGGTTAGTGGCTCCTCACTCCTCCAACAACCCCAGAGACAAAAACAGGGATTTTTAGGAGCAGAAAGTCAAAGGAAAGTGCTGCTGAATAAACACTGTAAACCTGGATGGAAGCTATGAGTAACTTCATAGATGTACTGTAGAACTGACCAAGGATCAATTTGGCTTCACAGATCTACGGCTGCGTTTTCATCGTCCATGCTACTGTTTTACATTTGATATGAGGTCTAAATATCTTTTGAAATTCTTCACTAGTCAGTACAAACATGAGGTTTCAGTCAGAACAAGTGACTGAATATGTAACTATTCCTGTGATGAGAATAGTCTGGTAGTTTACTACAGTAATAAACAATTTCATCAGCTGAAAAAATGGGCAAAAGGTTTTGTAATTTCCTGCAATCATTGCAGGTAAATGTTTTTTAGCTGTCGTGAAAACACATTCCGAGATAAGTCTGTGATTCTGTGAAATACAAACGATCCTTTGAATGTACAAAGAACTTCTGTCTGAATCCTGGAGTCAAATTCTCAAAGTGTCTTATCTGACCATTAGGAGTCGTCCTAATGGTGGTTAAAGTTACCAGCTAAGAGTAATTAACAAAGCTGCTGAGAGTGACTTTCACTGACGGACTGAGAGAACTGAATTAGATTTAAATTAAAGTTTAAAAATGTAAAAGAAACTTTAAGGTGGGTAAGGTGGAAGATTATAATAAAACTAATTTAAAATAAATTTAAATAACATTTTAGATATTTTCTAATGTATGTCACAAGTGTCATATGTAGAAAATTAGAAAATGAACCTTTCTTGTGATCTGAACGTTCAACCTCCGATGGGGTGGTTCTGTATCTAGCTCATATTCTCCAGGTCTACATTGTTGGCCATGAATACACTTCATGAACTGTCAAACTAATGAAGTCACAGTTTTGGTTCAAGAAATAAGCTCCACTGTTACAATTTATTGATGAGCTGATTTAATTCTTACACTCACTTGTAGTCAAAATATACATATGAAAGTTCCTTTGTGTTGAACTTTCCCATATAATCTGCAGTATTTAACCTGTGAGCAGTTTTTAATGACTCATCAGAACTTTCTCAAACTTATCTCAGAAACAGACCTGTTTGCAGTGCTTTAGTACTCTGTGAATTACTCTGGGAGCAAAAACTGTGTTCAAATATGTCCAAAATAGTATCTCCTGTGATCTTCAAGAAGCTCTGTCTTTATACTGCCATCAAGTGGCTTTAAGATGCAACTGCATCCATGCTGGAAAACGTCATCCTCATTTTTCTCAGCTACACTATTTTGTTGCCCATTTAAAGAACCCTATGGTCTAATGCTGTATCACTGGTGCAGTTGGTTTTTAGGATCTTAACTCCTCCACCGAGTGGATTTAACTCAGAGACAGATGTGTGAGCAGATGTTGACACCGCGCTGTAGATTGTTACGTATGATTTTATATGAGAGATCCACAGTGAGTTGTCTGTGCAGTAATTTGGGTTTTTCTGATGTAATCCTCAGCCATTCCTCTGACTGCATATGGACCAATGGCAGCAGCCGCCGCAGCAGCAGTAGTTAGAGGTATGTATGTGTGTGTGTATGTGTGTGTGTGTGAGAGAGAGAGAGGGATGGAAAGAGAGAGAGAGAGAGAGAAACACTGAGACAAACCGTGTCCACTTGTGCATATTTGTATGCTTGCCTCAGGTAGCATGGCCTGCTTGGACAAATAAAAGAATATTTTTAGACGTGTGTGTGTGTGTGTGTGTGTGTGTGTGTGTGTGTGTGTGTGTGTGTGTAGAAAGCCTGGAGGCCTGACTTGTCTCCTCTGTCTCTTAGGCTCCACCCCTTCACGCACAGCTGGTTTCCTGGGCACCAGCAGCCCTGGACCAATGGCTGACCTGTATGCTGCAGCCAATCAGGACTCAGGAGTCGGCAGCTACATCAGCGCCGCAAGCCCCGCCCCCAGTACAGGGTTTGGCCACGGTCTAGGGGTAGGTCTCACACACACACACACACACACACACACACACACAGACACATGGATGGATGAGCGAACAGAAAGTGTATTGAGCCATTGTGTGTGTGTGTCTCCTCAGGGTCCTCTGATTGCTACTGCGTTCACTAATGGCTACCACTGAGGCGACCCAGGTCACTGAAGATGGGAAGGCTCTTCCTCTGCTGACGAGCCAATCACAATGCTGGCTGCCCACTGATGGCACAACCTGATTGGCCGGCCACAGGCTTTACCGGGCTCCCTGTGGCTCCACCCACCGACTGAATATCTTTTTAAATCCTGAACTCTTGTTTTGCTGTACTAATCTCACTTCGACATAACGTCCCCCATCGCTCCTTGTTTTGTCCTCACGTAGTCTGATAACTAGATTCCACCCACTGTCATCCTCTTTCTTTTTGAAGCTGAGAAAAGAAACATTTGTCATCTTTGACAAAGTCACAGAGGACTCTTGAGTTTTTTAATAATAATAATAACTTTATTTCAATGTTACATGTCGTTTCATCATGAAATCGTTGAAAGCTGTTACAGATGTGGCTGGAGGGAGAAAATGCTGCGTAACCACCATTTTTAACAAAGGAAGATCAAATCCAACAACAGTCTTTTTTTTTTAACTCAAGCTTCACGGAAACAGAAAAAAACCTAAAATGTATATTTTGGTAGTCTTTAAAAACAAAACCTTTGTAATATTGTTATTAATATTGACATAATAATGATAATCTGTAAGGTATTTTATTCTGTAATTGGTTTTAAAGCAATGTTTTTATGTCTCCCTGTAAGATATTGTACATAGAGGTTGGGGTGGGTTTGGGAGGAAAGGGGTAGGGCTTGATGGTATGGGGGAGGGGTTTACTGAACCGGCTGGCATGCCATTAGTTGGTTTGGAAAGGGGATAACAGCAGGTTGTCATGTACTACTTTGTGTGGTCATCTCACTACTTTTTATCAGTATGCATAATGGTTTATGTGTACGTTGTTGGCCAGTCCACTGCTGCGATGCCTGCAGAAGTTCTGTCTGACACATTTGTTCAGTAAACGAAAAAAGTTCTTTTTGTTACAAAGTCATCGTTGTGTTTGCTTTACTTCACGGAAAAGCAACGTTGACTTTTTATAGTTTTTAACACCACGGTGAACCAGATTTCTACCAGACTAAGTCGACAGACTACGAAGGATCAACAAACCTTAAAACAAGAGAAATCACTGGTTCACGGGGTCCGGGGGAGGGGTTGACTTGACTTCCTCTTTTTTGAAAATATTATATATTTTTTGTGCGATTCACTTCTCAATGTTTTTTTTGTTTTTGTTCATTTTCTTTTTTGTATTATTATTCTTTTACGCGGGATTTTCCACCGCGAAAACAAAATGAAGGACATTCTCAGAGAAGCAATTGTAGAAAACATCACGGTCACGTTCTGTCCTCTTATCACTATTGAAGGTGCATGTGATTGCATCTGAGTGTGTGTGAGTGAGTGTTGTGTGCATACATCAACGTGTAAAATGGAACTACTTTCGGCAACGAAGGAGCATTTCGATTGCCTTTTTTTGGTACTGAAAAAAAAAAAAGATCACCCTGTTCCATTTTGGCTCATCTGCTCCTCTCCCCTGCCTCCCTCCCATTTCGTATTTAGTTCTAATAAATTTCTGCTCCTCTGGAACTGACATGTTGTTGTTTATCGACCTTTGCTGCTCCGTGTAGTGGTGAACAGAGGGGGTCTGGGCAGGGAACCACAAATCGAACAGGGTCTCGCTCCCGGTCGGCTCTGATGCAGGACCTCAGTACAGACGACACTGGCTGGCAGGAAACGTTTGGAAAAAAACATAGCTTGAACAAACTCAACATTTGCAAAAAACAAGTCGGCCATTTGTTGGGCCTTCTTGTGTGACGTTAGCCGCAGCAGAAAACTTCCTGATCCAGCCAGCAGCTCCTCTGTCAGACCACCTGGGACACGACATAAAACTACTGCTGGACACCAACACTGTAACTTTTTAACTTACAATAAAGCAATAAGTTATTTTTTACCTTACAAATGAAAATAGTACTATTATTGGTAATAGCAGACGACGTGTGGATAATTCTGCGGCATTAAGACTTATTTTCAGAAAAAAAAAAAAGAAACTATATTTTTCTGTTTGAAGATCTTGTTCCCCTTGTATATTGATTTTAATGATGTCTTTTTCTTGTGTTGATGTAAGGAAAAGGGCCAATGCTTTGAATGGAGCTCGTACACGAGCTCAGTTAAAGTTTGAGATTTGGGCTGTCCTCTGCCAAGCTTTACAGCAATGCTTTTCTTTTCTCCTTGTTTTTTTTCTGACAGTTTCAATTTTAAAATCCTAATAAATTATTCTAAAGCATTTGACTACGATTGTTGTTTTTTTAACCGTACATTTGACAGTGTTTACACAGTCAAACACTGATATCATACCACGGATGGTATGCAAAAAAAGTTTATATTTGCAAACCTGGGTTTCTCACAGTTTACACAATTTTCTTGAAGGTAAAGCTCCCGGTGTAGGTATTGTCAGAATTGTATGACCCCTAGTGGATGTTTATAAAATGACACCCCTCCCACAAGAAGATTTGACCTGGAGATGCATGACTCTCCGGGAAAACTTAAATAAACTGAACATTGACCCCAAATAGTTTAACCTCTAATACAAAGCCTAATAGGGCACTGTCATTTAGTGGGTGGTGGCAACTCTAAAGTCAAAGCTAATCTGTAGAGTTAAAGCTACTCTCTGGTTTAACTTGAGTAAAAACCAGGTTACCAGGTCATGAGATGCACCTATACTGTGTTTACATTATCAGTCCAAGTTAACCATTTGTGCTGCTCTTCATTCTGACACCACAGACAAATGATTTATTTCCCACAAGCATAAAGTAGTCAAATAATACTTAAATAACATTTAAGATAGCAGACCATTTTATACATTGCCGTCTACTCTAAGCTTTGCTGTGACCCTGGTTTCATATCTACTAGCCTTTCTCATAACCTACAGGCCTCTGACTCTACGATAAGGAAGGTGCCCATTTTTGTTTTAAGCCGCATTAGCAACTATGGCTGTAACTATGCCGATATCAGTCTGCTTGTTGATTGACTGATGGGATGGATAACCATGACATCTGTACAGACCTTAGATTGAATATAAAGATGGACAACATGACTGTTCCCCAAAAGGGGGGCTAAAGCGTCTCGACCCCCACTTGGTGGTTGGCTGCTTTTTATGAGTCATAAATCCCTCCTCCTCCATGTTGGTGGATGGGACATGGGTCAAAAAAGGTGTATATTTTTTCAGTAAGTTTGGTTTTAATATATATATATAAACGGGGCGAAACATCCTGATTGACAGCTGAGACTGACTCGTGATTGGTCGAGTGCGTGTGATGGCTGGGCGTCAATTCTGCAGCTTCATCCCCCGATGACCTCTGAGCAGACTCTGGCTCCAAATACAAAAGATGGCATCGTCCTTATCTGGGATACTCTGGCCTCATTTCTGGATAGTGGGAGGACGTTGTGACATGTCATCCATCTTTATATACAGTCACACTCTCTGCATTGTAATGAGTTAGATGATCTAACGCCATCATCATTCCCAGCTAAAGAGTGACAACCACAATAGATGAAGACAGTAAATGTCCAATGATGACCTGTTTACCATGCCTTCAACTGTTTAACATTTAACTGCAACAGCTCCAGGCATTAAAATCATAGATGTAAATGGAACATTACACACCGCAAGTGATGAAGTGTGTTAGCAACATTAATACCTGTTACACAGCTCTGAATAGTTGAGAGATCCATGTATCCATGTGTCTGCAGTGGTAAACAGAACAGGACTCTGGATGGAGGCCAGTAGGGTGAGTGATCCTCTCACAACCCACTCTGGGGAGCAGGAGTGGGTCTCTGTCTCTCCGCACAGACTTCACTTTTTTACGGCTTTGAAAGACGCACTAGAACCAGAACACAACATAGCAGGCTTATCGACCAGAGGTTTGAATTTCTGGTTATAAACATTTTCTAGTTAAAAGTTGGATTTCTGTTCTTTCAGGTTCTGCTTCCTCCTTTTTGAATTTGGGTGTTTTTCCACCTCCTGACTGTGTTTGGTTGTGGTCTGGTACAATGGCTCTCAAAGTCCTAAATCCACAGGTTAAAGGTTCCCTAAGTGGGAGCATGTTTTTGGACCATGGTTTTCGAGAGGAGCAGAAACCTCCACCTCCACTCCGCAGCTACCTTTGTTTGACTATTTTCACCTGCTTCTGTCCTGCATACCCAGTCAACCTTGTGGCCCTGGTCTTCTCTATTATGGTAAGAATTTTCTGCATAACATAACTTAGCCAAGGTGAATATATATCATGTGACTGTATGTAGACATGCTGCTGTGTCATTAAGGAAATCATCAGTGACAACTCTACTCGCTCTACTCTGACGTGCAGTGTTGTGAGTATATGTTGGTCACTAAAGCCCTTTGAGCATTTAGACAATTTTTCATCCACTAGTGTGACATTTTGGATGCCTGGTTACTCACTAGTTGGGCTAAAAATGCTTACTGGTCAAACTAGTGAGAGTCCATGGAAAGCCCTTTGAGCTTTTATTTGATATCCTTAATATCACACAAAAGTTTCACCAGTCTCAATAGTTACAGTAGTAAGGTCAAAGCAGATTTGTTATTGCAATCCTCAATATATAGGCAGAGTTTGACAGTGTATGTAACAGGGATTTCTCGTTCTCAGTCTAGAAACAGTTATTACCGTGGTGACTATGACGGGTCCAGGCGACTGGGCAAGAACGCTCTTTATGTCGCTGTCGCCTCTGTTATCATCGGCCTTCTCATCATCGCCATCTCCTGCATCGTTCATTTTACCACAGTAAGTTTTCCTTTCTGCAATTTTACTTGCTATCGAGAACTAGGTCCACATTTCAGTCCAGAATATTCACATAACTCTTATTTTGAGAACAGGGTCTTTCTTCGGTTTTCTACTATGAAACAGTTTCTCAGTCATAATGTATTCACCCAGGACTCTATGAAAAAATGCTCTGGTACAGTTTGGGTCATCCTGGTGAAATAAAGTGATATGAAACCAAGGCTGTGCAGAAGTGTATAAGAAGTGTGACAGAGAGGGGTAAAAACTATGAAATCTGTTTGAAAGCCACCATGATTAATATTCTGTTTGTACTGACAGTAAATTAAACAACACATATATTATATTACTGAGAGATTAGGCTGCTGTGGGTTTCATAAGACATGTGGAAGTCCTTGGTTTAACGTATTTCTCTTTGTCTTCCAGATGGATTTTTAGCACAGTGTAAAGACATGTTGACGCAGGTCTGGTGGGTGGTTCTCACCATCTGCCAATGACAGGACTCGACTCATGTTTATTTCAATGTGTAAATCACTTCCTCTCATGTTTCCTGTTGTTCACATGGACGAAGAATACGTCATGTCAGTAATTAATGCTGATTTAAACTAAAAAGGCAGCTTTATCATCATCTTGAATGTTAATAGTCAAATTTTTTTTAAATTTAATAATGGTATTTTGTTATATATTTAAAATAAATTATTATATTTTAATGGTAGAACCTGTTGTAGCAAACATAAAATAACTTTGACTTGAGAATTTTTGTCACTTTGTATTATTTAAAAGTTAACATTTCTGGAAACCTGAAGTTTGATTGTAAAAACACAAACTTCTCTTTGCTTAATGTTTTCCGATTCCTGTGATAACATATGAAATATTTTATATTAGAAGATTAATAAAAGAGTATTATATGATACAGATTAATATCATAGTTTCATTGTGTTAATTATTCCTCTGAGTAAAGCCACACTGCTTCCCAAATTGGGCATCAAAGCTGTTCTAAACGTACACAAGCCAAAAGATTATATTACCCCTCATTGAGATTCATTACACCTGCAAGATCTTCACCTCGTAAAGTTGAATGCCTTATTTCTAATGACTTCAATGTCTTATTTTTAATGTATTTAATGTCTTCAGTGTCTTATTTCTAATTTCTTTAATGTCTTTTTTTCTAATGTTTTCAGTGTCTTAATTGTACTGTGTGCAATGTCTTATTTTTAATGTTTTTAATTTCTTCGGTATCTTATTTTTAATGTCTCCAATATCTTATTGTCATGTCTTCTGCGTTTTAATTTTTTAATTTACTGAATGTCTTATTCTTCATGAATGTTTTATTTTTAATCCCTTTCCTTTTTAGAATTGCCTTTGTAAAGTACTTTGAACTGCCTTGTGTCCATATGAATAAACTTCCCTTGTCTTATTTGATGTAGGATTTAATAAACTTTGTTGTGAGTTACAATTAGTTTGAAATATTTCACTGTACTCTCCTTGATCCTTAAGCTACAACCTGCTCTGCTGGGACATTTTCTTGTAGTTTGATATTGTCACAGTATATCCCAAACTAAATATAGCAGATTTCCCATCTGCAGTGCAGGTTTGCCCAGTTTGTCACATGGTCAAATAAATCTGACCCAGTTGCGAGGCGACTGGAACATACAGAAAGTGTCACAAAAGGTGTCACAGGTTATATGATTCAGGAAGAAGGACGTTCCTGATCTTGTGTGAACATTTGATTTAATCGCATCCTGTAACTCAAAATTTTCTATTGTTGCTATTAGACAACAGCACTTTCTGCCTTTTTTCTCTCCATGTTATGTCAAGGTGCTTCATGGACCCCCATGGGCAAACAAATGACACACGTCCTACACTAAACAACAAAAATGGAGTCTTCACGTCTTCATGTTTGATTTTCACTGCGAGCCTCTGCTGTCAAATCAATTTTCAGTACACAGGTGTAATTCGGAGCGGTGCCTCTGATGCAAGAGGCCTTCTGCCAAGTTTCAGCAGTTGTTTTAATGCACTTAGACAAATTACTTTCGAGCGGTAATCTGGTAAGATTATCTAGTTTAACTTGAAAGAAAAATGCTGTGTGTTTGTAGTCTCACCGCTTTGATGTCGCACCAAAGAGAAACTCGAGAGAGGCAGACACAAAATAAAACAAGTGCAGGGTGTAGGCGACTTGAAAGCACCCAGTAGGATTATCAAGGGATCGCAGACTTTGCGACAGGGAGGTGATTACCACACAATGTAATGAAGAAACTCCCACACAAACAGAATGAATCAGGTTAATTCATGTGTTTCATGCTACATTAAAGGCAGATTTGGACGTGTTGCTCGCTGAGGTGTGTTTGGAGATCACTCCATGACTCACATGAAGTGCTCACAAATAGGACACTCGAACCAGCTGCTTCCATTAGCAGCAGATAGAGGGTCTGTGCACACGTATCTCATGACACATTCCTCCCAGCGAGCAGCAGTTTGATCCAGCCTGAATAAATGAAAGAGAAGAACTGTGGGAACGATGCAGAGCCGACAGGGAAACGTAAACATGCATTTACATAAATATCCTCAAGGATTCACTTTGATGTCATATTTTT